TGTCTTAGGAACAATCATGGATGGTCAGGAATCAATTATCAAAAGTTACTGATTTGTGATAAAGCAAATTATTTAATAAATGTGATCTTACTTAAGTATTTTATTCACCAATTGCTTTTGCTTTGAGAATTCATTACAGCACATTGCAATTGCTCTAAATAAGTTTGAAAGCTTATTTGACCCAATTCCAAAAACTAGAAGATAAACTTTGTTTTCAAACCAATGTAAAAATCCATGCAAAACTGTGATATTATTGTATCTTTTATTCTATTTTTTTTGTTGTTTTTTTTATCAATTCCATTTGCCTTTTCTTCTATGTCTAAACAGTATTTAGTTGAGTTTCACTGGATTAGTTAAATCAGCTAAGAAAAAAATTCTTATATTTTGAATTGAAGTTTTCAGCTATTCCATAGGTGTGCAATTGGCACATGTATGTGTTATCGTAACAAACAGCGAGTTAGGCATGGGTTCACAGAACAAATCTCACAATCCAAAATTTATCTGTTGAAATAACATAAACTCACAACAATATTTAACTGCACAAGATTGGTCATCTGCAGGTGACTAGATGGATGGATGGATGGATAAACAGACTAGAAAGGAACACATTTGGATGAATGAGTGAGCAGATAGACAAATGGATGAATGAATGAGCAGACAGATGTATATGCCGTTGTTCAAAAACATTATTTGCACCACCAGTAAAATATTGATACATACTATTCCAGTTCTATAAAATGTTTTGAATAACTATATAGTGCTTACCTTGATATTCCTGTATCTATTTTTAGAGACAGATACAGTAGAAGGTGGATTCAATAATTTACTACAAAGGCCCTTCCGTGGCTCAGATTACCATTTAGATTATATGTAGCCCTTTTGTTGTTTTAAAATAGCATTACTTTCATAGTACCATAGTAAACCTAAACCTGCAGTCCCCTTACTCAGTCTCTGTGATCTGCCTAATATCTTTATTTTAGAGATCGAAAGAAACCCAAAATATTTTATGTTTTTAAAACCTACAGCGTGTGAAATAAGTACTAGACAAGCCATAATTTTTCTCAGTAAACATATTGCTAGAACTATTGACATGACATTTTCACCTGATGTTGGAAACAATCCCTGCAATCCACACATACAAATTAAATATTAGATGTCCAGAAATTAAGTTATGTGTAATAAAATGAAATGTCACAGGGAAAAAGTATTGAACACGTGTAGAAAGGGAGGTCCAAAAAGGCATAGAGAGCCATGAAACCAACCAAAATCTCTCAGTAATTAGAAAGTAATCCTACCTCTTGTCAGTGCAAATTAATACCAGCTGGTTCAGTCCCAAATGATGGCCTATAAAAAGATGTCTCTGATATCACACAGCACAGGAAACATTGCCTGATGTTTAAAAATTAGGAGCTATCTCAAAACCTTTGCAACCTTATTATTTAAATCATAATTTGTTACAAAAAGGATTTCTAAACTCTTCAATGTTCCAGTTAGCACTGTTGGGGTCATAATGTAAAAGGGGAAATAACATAATTTCACCATAAACCAACCACAAGCGAGTTGCTCCTTGGAAGATTTCTGACAGAGGTGTGAAAATAATTATCAGATGAATTGTCCAAGAGCCAAAGACCACTCATGGAGAGCTTCGTAAATACCTGAAATTAGCAGGTACATTTTTTTCAAAGAAAACGATAAGTAATGCACTCAAACGCCTTTACCTGTAGGCACTGCACAAGACTCTATTGGTGAAAAAAAAATAAAAAGCATGTTGAAGCTTATTTAAAGTATGCTGCACAACATTAGGACAAGTCTGTGGAATACTGGGATGATACGCCAGGCTCCATCTTATATCAGAGATAGGATTTTTCCTTATGCTCCAAACAGAGCACTTCGCTCGCAATCTGCAGGTTTACTAGTGATTCTTAGAATGACTAAAAGTAGAATGGGAGGCAGAACTTTTTGTTACCAGGTCCCTCTGGTGTGGAACCAATGAGTTTTAGTCCATAAAGCAGACACCCTGTCTGCTTTTGTATCACTGCTTCTTTTTTTATAATTGCTTCTGTCTCCTCGAACCCCAGTCGACCTCAGCAGCCCCGCTGACACTGAGCCTGGTTCTACTGGAGGTTTCTTCCTGTTAAGAGCGTTTTTTTTTCCTCTCCACTGTCGCTTAGATTGAAAACTTTTAATCAGTTTGACTGTATGATCTTATTGAATTGTCTCTGTAAAGTGCCTTGAGATGACATGTGTTGTAAATTGGCGCTATAGAAATAAACTGAATTCAATTCAATTGAAGATAGTCTGGTCAGAGGAGACCAAAACTGAACTCTTTGGATGCCATAATACGCGTGTTTGGAGGTTAAATGGCCTAGCACATCAGCATACCAACAGTGAAGTTTGGAGGTGGAAAAATTATTTTTTAGCATATGGTACTGGCAGACTTCAAATACAGGTGCTGGTCATAAAATTAGAATATCATGAAAAAGTAGATTGATTTCAGTAATTCCATTTAAAAAGTGAAACTTGTATATTATATTCATACATTACATACAAACTCATATATTTCAGATGTTTATTTTGTTTAATTTTGATGATTAAAAATGACAACAAATGAAAATCTCAAATTCATCATATCAGAAAATTAGAATATTGTGAAAAGGTTCAAAATTAATGGCCCCTGGTGCCACACTCTAATCAGCTAATTAACTCAAACCACCTGCAAAAGCCTTTAAATGGTCTTTCAGTCTAGTTCTATAGGCTACACAATCATGGGGAAGACTGCTGACTTGACAGTTGTCCAAAAGACGACCATCGACACCTTGCACAAGGAGGGCAAGACACAAAAGGTCATCGCTAAAGAGGCTGGCTGTTCACAGAGCTCAGTGTCCAAGCACATTAATAGAGAGGCGAAGGGAAGGAAAAGATGTGGTCGAAAAAAGTGTACAAGCAAGAGAGATAACCGCACCCTGGAGAGGATTGTGAAACAAAACCCATTCAAAAATGTGGGGGAGATTCACAAAGAGTGGACTGCAGCTGGAGTGAGTGCTTCAAGAACCACCACACACAGACGTATGAAAGACATGGGTTTCTGCTGTCGCATTCCTTGTGTCAAGCCACTCTTGAACCACAGACAGCGTCAGAAGCGTCTAAAGAGAAACAGGACTGGACTGCTGGTGAGTGGTCCAAAGTCATGTTCTCTGATGAAAGTAAATTTTGCATTTCCTTTGGAAATCAAGGTCCCAGAGTCTGGAGGAAAAGAAGAGAGGCACTTCATCCACGTTGCTTGAAGTCCAGTGTAAAGTTTCCACAGTCAGTGATGGTTTGGGGTGCCATGTCATCTGCTGGTGTTGGTCCATTGTGTTTTCTGAGGTCCAGGGTCAACGCAGCCACATACCAGGAAGTTTTAGAGCACTTCATGCTTCCTGCAGCTGACCAACTTTTTGGAGATGCAGATTTCATTTTCCAACAGGACTTGGCACCTGCACACAGTGCCAAAGCTACCAGTACCTGGTTGAAGGACCATGGTATCCCTGTTCTTAATTGGCCAGCAAACTCTCCTGACCTTAACCCCATAGAAAATCTATGGGGTATTGTGAAGAAGAAGATGCAATACACCAGACCCAACAATTCAGAAGAGCTAAAAGCCACTATTAGAGCAACCTGGGCTATCATAACACCTGAGCAGTGCCACAGACTGATCGACTCCATGCCACGCCGCATTGCTGCAGTAATACAGGCCAAAGGAGGCCCAACTAAATACTGAGTGCTGTACATGCTCATACTTTTCATGTTCATACTTTTCAGTTGGCCAACATTTCTATAAATCCTTTGTTTTTATTGGTCTTCAGTAATATTCTAATTTTCTGATATGATGAATTTGAGATTTTCATTTGTTGTCATTTGTAATCATCAAAATTAAACAAAATAAACATCTGAAATATATGAGTTTGTATGTAATGTATGAATATAATATACAAGTTTCACTTTTTAAATGGAATTACTGAAATCAATCTACTTTTTCATGATATTCTAATTTTATGACCAGCACCTGTAATTGAAGGATCAATGGAAAAATGTACAGATGCATTCTTAATAAAAATCTGCTGCCATCTACCAGGATGATGATGAAACGTGGGTGGACATTTCAGAAAGACAATTACCCCAAACACACAGCCAAGAAACTCTCAGTTGGTCTCTAAGAAAGTAAATAAAGCTGCTATAATGGCCCAGCGAATCATCCAACTTGAATCCAAAAGAAAATCTATGGAAAGAACTAAAAGTCAGAGTTCATAGAAAAGGCAAAATAAAGGACTAAATAAACTATCCTTAAAATATTTATACATATAGGTTAAAGTTTTTTTTTCTGCTATTTCTAATTGTTTTTAGGTGACTTAGAATAGCCTAAATTTAAATATGAATTTCCGGCGAGAATTCAAATGAATTAACTATTCACAGATAATATCCATCCAATTTTACTGAGATCGATTTTTTTTTTAAGAGGAATGGGAAATAATTTCACTATTTGTCACTATATGTGTTAAGTTGGTTTAAACATAGCCGAAGATGTTGCTTCTGTAATTACAGTGAAAGACTGTTGGTCTAAATATAGAATCACAGAAGCTGAATGTGCCTTTGTGTTCTTCGTGTAAAAGTTAAAACATAAACACACAAATGTTTTTGGCTGCAATTTGAAAACATGTCAAAATGTTTAAGAAAAATAAATAGTTTAGAAGAAAAGGTAAAGTAAATCAGAACTTATGTTTTGTGGTTTGAATGAGCTCTAAATGCTCATATTTCTTTTGGATAGTGACCTCAAACTAGTTTACTGTTCTAATTAATAACATTTGTGATTGAAAAGATTAAGGTTGAACTAGTTATGAGTTAATGTTGATGAGCATAAAGGGGTACCGCTTTATGCTATCAAAAGCTAATTATATGTTTTTAATGTTAAAACAGATCCGTGCACAAGTGGTGAGACAGGACATAAATGAAGCTTGCATGTATTGCAAAATATAAAAAACATACTTTATTTTTTTACAGCCATAAAGCAACTTTGATTTAAAATAGTTTGATTTATCATAAAGTCAGATCAAATACCACATTACAATGTGGCAGCCAGTGGTTTCATAGTTTAAAATAAGGGATTCCAAATGTATTCCAGTCAGAAAATGACAATAAACACAAAAACATAATAACATGAACCTTTAAAATCATAAAAGCATCAACATATCTTTAAAATAATCACTTCCTTCATCTACCAACGTATTATGCTAGATTTAAATGATTTTGTTTTGTTTATGATCAGATGAATCAGAGCTTTGGCTGCAGTAATGTGGGTGTTGCTCCAGGCTTTCTCTGAAGGAAGGTAATCAGCAGCAGAAAAGTCTAGAAGAAGAGCAGCTGGAGCGAGTGGGTAGAGTTGCTGCTCAGGGTATCCCAAGGATTCAATGTGAGGTGGCTCAGGTGTCTGATCAGGATGTCTTCATGACAGCCTTTTTGTGGCTTTATAACCACGTCCAACAGGGAGACTCATGGTAGTACGATATCATCCCAATTCCCACATCTGGTAAAATAAGCTATACATTTTAAATCAAATTAATATCTCAGTTATCTTATATCTCTTTCTAAGTCCTATCTTATGGCTTAGAAATCTGTAGCTAAAAAAAAATTTATTCTATATATTTATTTTGATAGTTTTACATTTTTATAAGAAACATATAAAACATAAAAATAAGTAAAACAGAAAGCCGAGATCTGCTAACCCTGTGAAGCATAATTACTTATTTAGAAATAAGCCTTAGACTCCTCTGTGTGAAGGATTACAGTACGCCTCTCGCACTTAACCTTCTCATTACAACCAAAGCTTTATATTTTAGATACTAAAAACACTTTACAATAATCTCCATGAATTAAACTTTACACAAATTGATTTAGCCTCTGCAGATGAATCAGATACTTATGAATATCATGTATAGTTAAATGATTTTGGGCCTTGGTTTATCCTTTTTTATACATATTTACACCCTCTAAACACTCAATGTAAGTCGCAGGCAGTGAAACTTGGAAGAAAGGATGGATGGATGGCTGGAGCAGAGAAAATAAATCTCTTAAATGACTCAGCATTAAAAAAAATATATTTCAAAGTGTGTTATTAAATAACCTTTAAACCAATTTTATCTAATCATCTAAACCAAAAGCTAGTAGCATAACGACTAAAATTAATATGTACTTGTGACGTCTGATTCCTTCCTGGATGATAGCGGTGTGATGATTCATTCAGCTCACACCACAATACACAGCCTAAGGTTTAAAGATCAAGGCAGATGCAGATTTGGGCAACAAAACAAAGACAACCCCTTTTTCTTCCACATATCAGAATAAAGCTGCTGTAATACTGTTTCCCAGCTTGCTATGTATGCTAAAGTAATCACATTTTATAATATAATTAATCATTTTTAAACTAAGCATGTAGAAAAGCAAATCCTTTCATGTCTTTTAAGTAAGCACATTACTTCTGATGCTCTCCCATTCTGAACAGTGCATTTGTATCAGGACCATTGCAAAGACCAGATGTGAAATAAAGATCTCCACTGGATGAATACAGTCAGTAATCTAATCAGTCAATGGATTGAGAGATATATAATCTGAAAAGAAAGTGTTAAAACTGAGATGAATTTGTGAAGCCTTGCGAAAAAGACAAAACAAACCCCAAAAACTTCTGTTCATTGGTTGTCATCTTTTTTCCCCACTACAAAAAAAAAAAGAAAGGATGATCTTGATCACAGAAAAGCTCACTTTCTTCAGCAGGAGCTTTTGTCACCCGGTGATCTTAGCGGAGGTGTGAAAGGACACACCAGGTGAGATGAGGCGAGTGGAGAAGCTGTCAGAACAGCACGGCATCTGGTTCTGGCTCAGCAGAGCATCTGCTTTGATGCCCCGGGAGCGAAGAAAGCTTAGAAGAACATTTCTCTGCCTTCTTAAAGCGCTGCATGCTGGGAAGACTCCGGTTTGCAGCAGGCTTCAGTGGATTCAGAGTTGGAAGAATGCCTGCGGGTACAACGAAAAGAAATTTGTTAAATTACAACCTGTGAATTTTTAATATTCTACCTCAGATGGTATTTGATATTTAAGTTTGATCATTTTGATAATGATCCATGTTATGAAACAGTCACCGTTTATGTGCTGGATATTAAAAACTGGCTTATTTTATCATAGACAAACTTGACCTTTTTCTAAATTTGTTTGAGAGAATATTTTCGCAAATGTCACCAAGACACAATTAAAGCAGAAAGTTTTATACGAATTAGCTTTTTTAATGCCAACTGCCATTGCACACCAAAACCATTTCCATAAGGCAACAAATGTAGGTTAAAGATAATTTGAAAACTTTTATTTTTGCAATATTCATTAATATAACTGTTAAGATTTTCCCTCTGGCTCATGTTTCATCTTTGTTTTTGATATATTTAAACATGAAACAGCCCTCAAAAGCACAACACATGTTTATATCCAAACTTATTAAAATATTTGGAAAAATGTTCCTGCTTTTAAATGTGGTGTAACATTTTTATGAGGATAAATGACACTGGAAAGATGAGATTCATTTTCTAATTTACTACTGTCAACAGTTTAGGCAGGTGCTTTCATTTGTTTGTTTTATTAAATTATTTTCTCATGCATCTATTAGTCGCAATAATCCCCAAGCAATTTTAAGAGACACACATAACAGTACTTCATATATTGATACATAAATACTGAAATGGCAAGTATGAAATTGAATCATATTGATTTTCAGACTTGCAAATTTAATTCACTCAGAACCGTATCATGACAAACATTGCAATATTGACAAACAACCTGTTTCAATCTAAAAAAATAACACCTTTATAGATAGTAACCTACATACACCAGGGCTTGTGTTTACCTTTTTGCTTTCACTCCCCTTTTTGCTTAGCCGCTTACAAACCTTAATTTTCTTACTTTAGAATAATGAAAGGACTTTTTTATATTCATTTGTATTCTAATATTTAGATTTATATCTAGAGTTCTTTCAAATATGCTGGTGAAGATTCTTAGTCATCCAGTTCATAGTAATTCCAAAAAAGTAAAAGAAAAAAAAAACAATGGACTTTGTTTTAACCTTCAGGATTACTTTAACAGAGTTCTCCTCCCCCAAAAGAAGGTTCAATTTTAGTAGATCTTTATCAGATAGTGCAGTTATAAATTTTAAAGAATCTGCTTCACTTTCTCTCTGCTCTGTGTCACTGAGCAGTGCTGCAGAGTGCAAAAGCTTAGCTTATTCCCCTTCACAGGTTGATGATTTTGTTGATGGGGTTGCTAGTTCTCTGCGTATTGCCTTAGACAACGCAGCTCCTTTGAAAATGAAAACCGTTAAAAATAGAAAGCTTGCTCCTTGGTTTAATGCAGAGCTGCGTACTTTGAAGCAAAATGCTAGGAAACTGGAGAGAAAATATCGCTCCACAGGCCTGCGAGAGTCCTTCCTAGTCTGGAAAAATGGTTTACTGCTGTATAAGAGGACCCTTTGTAAAGCAAGAGCAGCATACTTCTCCTCATTAATAGAGGAGAATAAGAATAATCCTAGATTTCTTTTTAATACAGTTGCCAAACTCACCCAGAGCCATAGCTCTGTTGAACCGTCCATTCCACCTGCTCTTAGCAGCAATGATTTTATGGGATTCTTTATAAATAAGATTGATCTTATTAAAAATAAGATCATAAGCACTCCTCTATCCGCGATTGTACCTGAGGTAGTCATGGAATCTGAACCGGGTTTAGACTGCTTTGATCCAGTTGAACTCTCTGAATTAGCAAAATTTTTGTCTTCATCTAAGCCTTCAACTTGTATGTTAGATCCAGTTCCAACCAGGTTATTTAAGGAGGTATTCCCTTTGATCTCCTCCTCCATTTTAGATGTGATTAATCTATCTCTGTTACAGGGATATGTACCTAAAGCTTTTAAGATTGCTGTAATTAAACCTCTGCTTAAGAAACCGTCTCTTGACCCAGATGACTTGGTCAATTATAGACCTATATCCAATCTTCCTTTCTTATCCAAAATTCTTGAGAAAGTAGTTGCCAAACAAGTCTGCGATCACTTCCACCATAATGAACTTTTTGAAGAGTTTCAGTCTGGCTTTAGAGCTCATCATAGCACTGAAACAGCTCTGGTGAAAGTCACTAATGATATTCTCATGGCCTCAGATAATGGACTTGTATCTGTGCTCGTCCTGTTGGATCTTAGTGCTGCATTTGATACAGTTGACCATAATATTCTTTTAGAAAGACTTGAATATTTTGTTGGAATTAAAGGAACAGCACTAGACTGGTTTAAATCTTATCTATCTGATCGAATTCAGTTTGTTCATGTTAATGATAGATCTTCAACACGCTCAAAGGTTACCTGTGGAGTACCACAGGGATCAGTGCTAGGACCAATTCTCTTTACTTTATACATGCTCCCAATTGGTAGAATTATTAGACAGCATGGGATTAATTTCCACTGTTATGCTGATGATACCCAGCTATATCTGTCTATAAATCCAGATGAAGCTAACCCATTACATAGATTACAGGCATGTCTTGAAGACATAAAAACCTGGATGACTCTTAACTTTCTGCTTCTGAATGCAGACAAAACAGAAGTTATAGTCTTTGGACCAGAGTCTCTGAAAAAGAAACTGATTAGCCAGTCACTTCATTTGGATGGGATTAAACTGATTTCAGATAATAAAGTAAAAAATCTTGGTGTTATTTTTGATCAGGACCTGTCATTTAAATCCCATATCAAAGAGGTTTCTAGAATTTCCTTCTTTCATCTGAGGAACATTGCAAAAATTAGAAATATCCTGTCCAGGGGTGATGCTGAGAAACTAGTCCATGCATTTGTTACTTCAAGGCTGGACTATTGTAATTCTTTACTATCAGGAAGTCCACAAACTGTAGTTAAAAGCCTTCAGCTGATCCAAAATGCTGCAGCCAGAGTTCTAATGAAAATGAAAAAGAGAGATCATATCTCTCCTATCCTGGCTTCTCTTCATTGGCTTCCTGTTAAATCAAGAATAGAATTTAAAATCCTCCTTCTCACATATAAAGCCTTAAATGGCCAAGCTCCATCTTATATCAGAGATCTGATTGTTCCTTATGTTCCTAACAGAGCACTTCGCTCTCAATCTGCAGGTTTACTAGTGGTTCCTAGAATTTCTAAAAGTAGAATGGGAGGCAGATCTTTTAGTTATCAGGCTCCTCTCCTGTGGAACCAACTACTAGTGATGGGTCTGACGACACTGAAACCTCGGCGCATGCGCCGAGCAAACAAGGTGAAGCCCCGTGTCGGTGCGCGTGACCGATACAGTTCCTGTGTCGCTTGATTGTGAACGCGCCAAATTGTATTTATAAACAGAAAATGTATCGACACATTTGTGGGTTTTGTTGGATGGAGATAGTTTGTGTTGTTTGCTTTACATTGGTTTTTGGCTTGTCATCTAAAACTATGGATCAATCAAGGAAGAGGAAGTTTTCACCCGTGTGGGATCATTTTGATCTTATCACTGAGAATAAGGTAAATTATTATTCCTTTCTCTTTTCCACCATTGATCATTCTTCTCTTGGTTATTCTAATTTCTTTCTGAAGAATATTTTAATTAGTTTACATGGATTAACTTTTATTTCTATTGTAGGTGAAATGTAGGATTTGCTCCCAGGTGCTGTCTTACTCTAACCGGAGCACTTCCACAATGCTGAGGCATTACCGTGCCCGGCATGAGATGGAAGAACGAGTTAATACTCCCGTGATTAGCCCTGGTGCTTCCAGAAAGCAGGCGATTGATGAGGCTGTAATGAACATGATCATTACAGACTGTCAGCCGCTTAGCCTTGTGGAAGACAAGGGGTTCCGAGAGCTGGTCCAACTCCTTGAGCCCTCATATGTTCTGCCATGCAGAAAGGTACGTGAAACTAACTGTTATACATGTTAACAAAGTATATGCATGTTATTTGATATCAATCATTAAGCTACTCCACTTGTGTTATTAATTTTAGGCTATCAAGACCATGATTAGCCAGAGGTATGAGGAGAAAAAGGAGCAAATTAAAAAAGAACTGAAGAGTGCAGCTGCAGTCAGCCTAACAGCTGACATGTGGACATCCATGAACATGGAGGCTTACCTGGCTGTGACCTGTCACTATGTCAACAGTGAGAACCATACACTGTGTACATCAATGTTGGGAGTGGAACACTTCCCTCAGCAGCACACTGCTGAAAATATGGCCCAAGTAAAGAAAAACTTAATGCAGGAGTGGGCCATAGCAGAGAAAGTTACATGTCTTGTCACAGATGCGGCTGCAAACATGGTTGCATGTGTCAAAAAGCTCCAAATCAGGCACACGATTTGCATAGCGCATTCTTTGAATTTAACAGTTCGAAAATCATGTGACCAAATTGAGACGCTCACTGAAATCCGAAATAAAACAAAGCACATTGTAACATACTTTAGAACCAGTACTACAGCCAAAGAGAAGCTGGCACAAGTCCAGCTACAGATGGGAGGACCAGTGAAGAAATTAATCAATGAGGTGTCAACTAGATGGAACAGCACATATTTAATGCTGGAACGCATGGCGGAACAGAAGGAGTCGGTGTTGGTATCACTAGCTTCTTTAAAAAGTGATATACCTCAGCTCACTACAAATGATTATAAAATCATAGAGGAGACACTCCGTGTGCTTGCTCCATTTAATCAAGCGACAGTGGAGCTGTCTGAGGAAAAAAGAGTGTCTGGATCAAAGGTAATCCCAATGCTCAAAATGTTGCACCTCTCACTGCAACGCAATGCATTAAATGTAACCACGGAAACCGCAATTAATCTTGTGGAAAACCTAAAAAGAAGACTGCTAGAAACTCTGTGCAACCTGGAGTCATTGAGTGTAATGACAATGCCAACACTGCTGGACCCTCGGTTCAAGACCATGGCATTCTTAAGTGCGTCAAAAGCCAATGATGCAGTGAAAAGACTAAAATCAGAGTGTGCAGCAGTAATGAGAAACGCTATACCAACACAAATGGAAGATGCCCAAGCTGGACCTTCAACTCAACCATCTGATTCCAATCCAGGTATGTATGATTCTTAATTTTGTTCATTTGTATTTTAATGTTCATGCAAATCATTCCATGTGAATACTATGAATTAGTAACACAGATGCATTTTATTATTTCCTCAGATGACAACCTGTGGCACCAGCTGGACATAGAAGTCAAGGAGAGCAAGGCCAATTCAAATGTCACCACCGATGCCATTATCGAGGTACAAAGATACATCTCCGAAGAGAACACACCAAGATCACAGGATCCACTACAATACTGGAAATCGCAAAGACTAAATTATCCTACGTTGTACAAACTTGCAATGACATTTTTATGTACGCCGTCATCATCAGTGCCCTGTGAAAGGGTGTTCTCAAAAGCAGGAGAAATGGTTTGTAAGCGGCGCAATCGCCTTGGCCCAAAGATGTTAACGCAGCTGATGTTTCTAAATAAAAATGTGTGAAAGAACCTTGTTCAGTCTGTTTCCAGTCTTTATTGAAGTTGCCTGCAATTGCTTTTTAAATCCAGCAGATGTCGCCATTCAGTGATACAGCAAAACAGTTTCAACACAGTGTCGACACAGTTTGGGAAATGTGCCATACACCCAATGGGGCCTCATCTGCCCATCACTACCAACTACCAGTTTTAGTCCGTGAGGCAGACACCCTGTCTACTTTTAAGGCTAGGCTTAAAACTTTCATTTTTGATAAAGCTTAAAGTTAGGGTGGCTCAGGTTATCCTGAGCTATCTCTATAGTTATGCTGCTATAGGCTTAGACTTTTGGAGGACATAGGGACCCCCATTTCATCATTCTGCTTCATTCTCTCTCTGTTCTCCTATTCTGCAGAATCTGTTAGTTCAATCTCTAACCTTCTGCTCTCTCTGCTTTTCCTCAGAGTAGCTTTGCCTCGTCTGTTCCTGTTTGGCTGTGACGTCATCCTGGAAAAAACATCAGCTGTGCTGCTTCTATCAACACCCTTGTTAATAGATGTTGGAGATCGGCCTGTTTTCCAGTGTGGTCCTGTTTCTCTGACCGTGACTGAGTGGATGTGCTCTCTTCGTCCTCTGGCATGGGAGCTGCCTTGGAGCTCGTCTGCCTGGCTGTGTGTTTCCTGGACGGGGCCGCCTTTTACAGCTGCTTTTTGTATCTCTGCTTCTGTCTCCTTGAACCCCAGTCGGCCTCGGCAGATGGCCGCTCACACTGAGCCTGGTTCTGCTGGAGGTTTCTTCCTGTTAAAAGGGAGTTTTTCCTCTCCACTGTCGCTACAAGCATGCTTAGTGTGGGGGATTGTATTTGAGTCAATGAGTCAATGCAATCAACTGGTTTTCCTTAGATAGAAAACTTTGTATCAATTTGACTGTATGATCTGGTTGAACTGTAAAGTGCCTTGAGATGACATGTGTTGTGAATTTGGCGCTATATAAATAAACTGAATTGAATTGAATTGTTTTCCAAGTCTGAAGACATTTCAGTTCCCATTGAGGAAGCTTTTTCAATTCAAAATGTCTTGATTAGTGTTGAGTTCCAGGCTTCATAGAGTAGCCCAGCAATGCCTTGTTTTGGATTAGAAAACATGCAAATTGAACCGGAAGAACAGGTCCACCCCTAAGTTATGGGGAGTTGGTGTTTTGGTTTTGTTAAAATTGGTTTCCTAAATTAAATCATGATGATTAATTAATAGTAAAATGGATTTTACTATGTTGCCAAATATGAAAAGTGTCTTAAAAACATCACTTTTGAAAAGAAATGAAGCAGATCCTTGGTTTAAACACTTTGCCTTAAATCACATCAAAGAAAATCAATGTTCTCACCATTCTCTTCTCCGGGCTGTGAGCAGATATCTGCAGCATCCCATTCATAATTCTCATCTACTGAGAGCTGTCTTCTAAAGAAGAAAAAAAATATGAGATGTACACATTATTTCTAGAAGGCTATTCAATTCAATTCAATTAGGCTGCCTAAATTACTGTAGCTCTAAGATTACAACTATGCATCACCATGCAAAGCCTCCATGGATTAGTTTTACTCTTTACTTTGTTTTGATTAGAATTTGGTAGATAATAAAGGTAATGTTGGTCCTTCAAACTACAGTATAAAAAGCTGACTGTAAGGTATCTGGTAAAACGGTAAATGTACTTACCTTCGCCCTGGTTCAGTTTGGCCATTTTCCTTGTCCTCTGACCTCCGCTGGGTGTCTTCTGCAGTCTCAAGTGGATGTGTAAGAGTTGGGGACAGGGCACATGAAGAGAGGCGCCCATTGGTAGTCTCCATGCTGCCTCGGCCACTGCTTGCATAACTGCTGTAACTTCCGCCAGAATCTGGCACTCCCTCGTAGCTTGTTGTCTCCACTTCCAGTGCATCTAAATCATTGGTGACGGGTGGCAAGTATGTGGATACTTGCTTCAAACTGACAACAAAACCTGGTGATTTTGTTGTTTCCTGATAGGCAGTCTGATTGTTTGCAGTTTCAGCTGAAGGGGAAGGTTGGCAATAGTAAGGCACGTCAGGATTTGGAGTCAGAACCTGTGGACTATGACTTTTAGAAATATATCCCTCAGCAGGTGAGAATTCAGGTTCAGTTTGAGAATATTTAACTGAACAGTTCTCTTGGCTTAGTGAATCTATCCATGCAGTTGGTGTGAGAAAAGAGGATTTCTTCTGTCTCCTCAAGTCCAGACTCTGACTCCGCTGCTTGCGGTCTAAAGTTCTTGAACCTTGGTGCCTAGCTTTCCAGAACTCTGTTTCTGAAAGTTGCTGAGAATAACGGGCTCTGTCAAAGCTGTCTACAGAAGCATTTCTGCTGCAATTAAAGCTGGTGCTCCTCCTCATGTCTTGATGCCTTCTTGTTTGAGACAGTGAGCAGCCGTGTTGAACATGAGAAGCAGTTCTGTGGTGTAGCATGGGCTTTGTAGGTTGCAACGTTGGCCCTTCAAACTCTGGCTCATCTACACTCATTTCAACACACAACTCTTTGCTAGTAGGTTCAGCAAGCATTTCTATTGGTCTCTTAGAATATGGTACTGTATCTAGAGAGGCTTTATTGCTGTGAAAAAATGTGTCAATACTACGATTCTTTTCCTTTTGTGGTTTAAAGAATTCATCCATTGTTTGGTGGTCATAGGATGTGAATCGTCTTGGAATGCCAGATCTCTGTATTGTATCTATTATTTTACCTCTCTGATGAGGAGGGGTTGATCTTTCACCTAAGGAATTTCTTGCCCCGTTGAGTTGAAGCAATGGGTTTGATTCAGAAGAATAAGGAGACAAAGTGGGACATAAAGGTGGAGATTTGCTCATATGCTCCCTAAATGGATTCAAATTTAATTTGGAATCAAAAAGATGGGGTTCCCAGTTTTCTGAGGAAGATGTAAGGTGGCTAGATCTCTCCTTGCTACCTTGTCGATAGCTGTTGGGCAAGGTCTTGCTTTTGTATTCCCACATGAGCATCCCATCACTTTCCTCCATGTTGTTGGTTTCTGTTTGACCTGTCTTGCCTTTAAAGGAGTTTCTCTCTAGCGTATACCTCCTTAGCTCTCTTTCCAGTTTCTTTCTCTCTTGAGCCAAGCTCAGGCATCGACTCAGGTTTCCGGTCTCACGTTCATGTTCCATTTGGAGAACAAGAGTGCTAGCAGTTGTCGATGGCTGGCTGAGGTTGGCCCGGAGATGTGGGAGCACAGGAAATACTGAAGGTAGCCCTCTAGTCAGACGAGGCAAGGAGCCAAGACTGCTGTTTGAGTACAGGCTGCCCTCATCAGGAGAACCCACATAGCTTTCCTTAAGTGGTGGGAGATGGCCCATGCTGCAAATTTGAGCTGAATCCCCTTCAGGTGTAAAAGGAGGCACATCAACAGAGAGCACATATGGTACTTCTTTCTTTTCCTCCTTTTCTAAGTGAAGCGATACAGATCTTCTGATTCTGGAAATCCTTTTGCTATCAACACTTATTGTGTCATAGTCACTGAGAGTGAACCGACCATCTGGACCTCTAGAGATTAACTCAATGGAGGGAGAAAACAAAGAAGTTGTCTTAGTAAGACTGCCTCTACTGTAGAAGGACTCAAGATTCTTGCGTTGGCGATTGTTATCTGTCCTCAACGAGGAGCAGTCTGTCTGTGAGGAGGAGGTGGTGGAAGACATTGTGGGGTAGAGGTTAGAGCTGGCTGGCAGGAGGCTTTTCTTCAACAAACTGTCTGGAGTATTGGAGCCTGAAGTCTTCCTGCGAGAGTGAGGGGAAAGATGGGGAAGGGCAGAAGAAACAGAGCTGTAAATGGAAGAGAAACTGACTGCTAAAGTGAGACTGCATGAAAACACAGTGAGCAGTGTGGACAGATCACTGTAAGGAAAATAAGAGTGTGAAACAGAAAGTGGTTGGCATTTTCAGCACATTTAAAGTAAGGAAAAAGGGAAAGGTCACCAGCTTATATTACTATGGAGTGATAAAGGGGTACTCACATTGATGGGGAACACTTATAGATGGCAGGAAGGGGCTCTGAAAGGGAGTGAGGAGGAGTGAGATGGTGTATGACTCACTGCTCAAGACGTAAAAAACATATTCGACCCTAAACAGAGCCCATTGAAGGACTTAAGTCCTTCAATGGGCAGTCACATTGTCCTAAAGTCACTTAACTCTAGATTTATTAGCAGCTAATGAGACAACACTCAACTCAGCAAGCAATGCGTATGACATCTATGACTTCGCTAAATTCTATGAAAATAGGTCTGACACGGATATGATGTATCTTAGTATTTTATCACAAGAAATTTTCATATATAAGATTCAGATCAGTTCGTCAAAACCAATGTCTGATAAATCTTCAACGGAAGAGGGATAATCACCATTATCTTTCTTTCTGCGGCGCTGGTCTCTCCTGCGGCTGACTACACAGGCAGAACCAAGCAACAAGACCATTGCAAGTAACATAAAGCCCATCCCAGCAAGAATACCGGCCAGTAATGGTTCTGGAACAAACTCCAGGATTCGTGAGTCAGCTGCATAGCTCTCCATATCTGTGAAAACAAAGAAAAATATATTTTCGGAAGATATAAATATAACTGACCGACCTTAGATCAGGGTGGAGTATAAAATTATGAGTTTGATGTGACTAAAACATGTATTGACTTCAATTGACTGTAATTTACAATACTTGCGTGCATCACTTTTCTTGTTGTAATTAGGACATGTATATAGCAGCTGTGCACATGAAATGAAGATCTTTCCTTATTATATGAAATCCTTTTGCATTGAACTTTTTATGAATTCAAAATTACACGTTTTATCAATTCTTCTGTTTTTTTGTTTACTAATATTATCTCTATTATGTGATTTCATTTTTTTATACTCTATAGAATTTGGTTTTTTTATTTTCTGTCTAACTCTACTGACTGATCATTATCCTAAATAGCATAACTGAGCTGTCCCTCTGACTAACATCACTTTTGCTAAAACCACTGTTTCATTCTTCTTTTCATGCTTAGCCTTATTTAACTATTATTTTTTCTGTGCTTTTTTTTTTTTTTTTACTACTTCATTGACTACTGCATTGACTTTGCTTGTATGAAAGGATTTCTGTAGAGAACATGCAGCTGAAGTCAGCCAATCACGTGACACCTGTGACTCCAACAAACACAGTCAGCACCTCTTGCAGTTTTTCTCCATATTACCTTGAAAACACCAACAAGAACATGGTAATCTCATATTTAGAATATGGGTTGTCATGGTCTTGGTTCTGTTGTTCTTTACTTTGCTCCTTGTTTTCTAGTTTTATTGGTTTAATTCCAGTTTTGTTGTAATTTCTAGATTTGTTAGTTCTCATGTTTTTCTGTTGCCCTCTTGTGTGTGAGTGTTCCTTTCCCCTTGGCTCCCTCGTTGTCTCCTCTCACACCTGCTCCTTGTCAGCTCGTTAACCCTCCCTTTGTCTCTGTCAGCTATATATGCTCTCCCTCTGCTCTCACTCTTTGTTGGTTCCTTGTCTTTGCTGTCTTACCATGCTGTGGTCTACGTTCCTCGTCTCTCCCTGGCTCCTCCTGTTTGGTTTTCCCTTGATGTCTCCATAGTTCTGGTTTTCTTTATATTTTTCATGTTGGATTTTGGATTTTTGGATTCCTGCCTCTGTTACCTGTGTTTATTTCATTAAAGCTGCAAGAAATCTCCTCAGCCTCTCTGCCTCTGCATTTGGGTCCTCAAGCCACAACTAAACACTGACATGGGTATACCAACCAACAAAGAAGAAAGGATGCCATCTCCTTTTATCACTCCCCTAAAGACCCAGAGAGGTAAGTAAGATAGGTGGCTGCTATGAAGAGATGGAGCTGGAGTCCAACTTCAAATAGCACAATTTGCAGCAATCACCTCTGAAGTGGTTAGTTGTTATGCACAAAGTAAGGTTGTAGAAATTGTTTTCATTTAGACAGATGTGTAAATTAGCTTTGTTGCTTGTCTAAACCAAGTTTCATCTTTTGATAGGCATGCAGGGTTTCCCCCAGCATATTATAACTGCTGTAGGGTGGCCAGGCTTTACTCGGCCCCCTGCCAGGATAAGTGTCATCATCTTAAGGCGTCAATTTTGAAAAGCGACATAAAACAATAAGTGAGGTTCCAGTTCAGGAGAAAGCCTCTCTGACTGAGAGGTTTTCTGAGATGCAACCTGTTATTATATGTTCAACATATGTAGACAATGTTGAAATGCCAGAATATCCACTCATTTTGTATTACGATCTGTAGTACATATCTTGCTGTATCATTATGGTACATGCAGGTGGCTTTATGCTGTCCAGTATGGCAGCAGGAACAGACAGTGTTCACTTAACTGCATGTCCTCTTTACTGATTAATTTATTCTTAAACTCCAGTCTCAAAATTAGGCCCAACCAAACAAGAACATGACTAACAAACCTAACCTGGTTTCAACATTTATATTATATAATTATTAATTTATTTATTTATTTCAAACTGGTAATCCATTTTTATGATAATCAATCAAACCTTATAAACCATGAACATGTTTTGCAGCCAAATGACTGATACTTAGCACAGCTGTTTAAACAAAAAAAATTGAGTTTGGGCCTCAGTGACAGGCTACAAATGAAGTCCTACATCTAATTTAACATTCATCTCACATAAAAATACAAGTTGAAAAAATTCATAAGTTATTAGGGGAGCTATTTCTATCACCCAGGCTTCAAATGGGCAGGGTTCCCAAGGGTCCCTCTCTGATTCCTCTAGTGCAGGAGGGACGACAGAAGAAACATGGGGCGAAGAGAAAAGCTTGCAGAGTGTAAGGCGTCACTTTGAAGAAGAGAGGGTTGCTCTCAAACACCTACCTGTGGTGGAGACATTGACTGATGGACTGGGCTCACTCAGCAGCTCCCCCCGACGAGAAAGCATCCGCAGCTCATACACGCGTTCCTAAACCCAGCAGCCATGCACACAGAAACACACACGCAGTGGGGAGGACAGAGGATGAAACCACACTTTGTCAACACATGGCACTGTCTGCAATGCTAATGAAGTTCATTTGAATTCATGTAGACACACACAGGAGGGGGAAAGGGAAGATGAAACGGTGAAGGGAAGGGGAAAAAAAGGAGTCAGACGACAAGGGAAGTGATGGCTGTCATGTAGGGTTCCAAACTGAGTCTACCAAATAAAATCAGTGCAGTAAAGACAGCACACAGCTATCCAAAAGGGGCTGATTAGACACATAGGGAGGAGTGCAACCGGTGCTTTACCTTCTGTAGACCCACAACCAGTATTTGGCTGCTGTTGGCACTGATGTTCTCCTTCAGATTAAACCACTCCTCTTCTGCAGAGCGTGATTGGAGGACAAAGCCTGTGATGGGAGGCTGCTGAGCTTCAGGAAGGGACCACTGCAGAATAACACCCGCTGAGCTCTGATTAGCTGACAGCGACGTGGGGGGCTTTGGTTTATTACTCCTCCCTGGAGGATCTAATACAGGAAGAATTAAAAAGACTTTCAGTCAATCAGTGGAACCTTTCCACAGGAAATAATTAAATTAAGACAGAGGAAACTGGTGCTGAACACAGAGTGTTTTAGATGAGTAAGACAGAGAAGGTTATGAATGTCCTGCAGTCAGAAGTTTTCTACATCCCTGATAAGAAATATGTTAATATGCTTCAGTTTAAGTTATAAATAGCAGAAATATAAAAATATATACAGTGCACAAAACATTTTATTGATACTTTTCGTATTTAATCCACTATGTTGTTCTAAAGCTCTCAGCTTTTAGGGCCTGAGGTGCATTTGAATAATGAATCCTCTTGTGAACTCTGCAATTAACATTTATTCATTTCTGCTGCAATGCATATTAACTTAGTGACCACTTTATTGTGTACAAGTTGCAAGCTTGGACTTCTTTATGCACCATTGGGATGAAATATTGTGATGCGGAATCTATTGGAGTATAGTTTAAGGAACCAGTCTGAGATTGTTTCAGAAATGTGGAGACTTATCTCGCTAGAGGTCACCATATAAAAGTGGAATAATCTGTTTAAATAAAGCAATGGACAATACTCAAGTAGGCTGTAGTTCACTTGGTAAACTTTAGGATCCTTAGTACCTGGGTAAAATGGTTCCATTGGTACTCCAAAAACTTGCACCAACAAAAGGACCTCATATCATTGTGCCATTTTGCTTTTTATTTAATGACTAAATTTAACCCTACTGTCTGTATATTTTTATCAGGATTGGGAATAATGTCCTAATAAAACACTGTCTTTTTTATAAGATTTACTGTTATTTTTAGGATTTGATATATTTTCCAAGAAGGGTTTTTCAACAGTCTATGGGATGCTCTCAAAATGTTAGATATTTTTTATTTAAATAATCTGAAAATAAGTCATGGTATCCCTTTCAGTTTTAAGAAAACAGCATAATGCAGAGAGTGAAGAATTTAGACAGTGTCACTTGAGTTTAAGTGCCACTAATTTTGGTCAATTCTCAAATACTTTGTTACCTTACTTAAGTAGAAATTTTGGCTATCTATATTTAACTGGAGAAATTATTTTTTTAGACAACTTTTACTCCTTCAACAACTTTTTTGCATTTATCTCTACTTTCTACTCCTAACATTTTAAAAAATACCCTCATTAGTTTCGTGTCATTTAAGCTCGTTTTTCATTATGGAATGTTGGTATTTAAAAAAAATAAAAACCATCAAAAAAATTTCAGACAGCTAATTTCTTTGTGGTTGGACCCGCTGCTGCATCAATTTGTTGATGATGGATGATGCAAAGTTAAATTTTACACTGTTGCCATTATTGATTAGAATTGTAAAAAAAAAACATTTAACCAGTACAAGGTTTAAAGCATCTGTCCTTAACATTTTTTCCTGCATTACTTTTACTCTTATACCTTAGTTTTAAAAATGGTACTTTTACACTTTTACTTAAGTAAAAGTACTCTCTAACGTCTTCAAAAGTGTTTTTGAACAGTATGAATTCTACTTCTACATCAGTAATAAACATGAATACTTTTGAAACCTATGGTTATATTTTCAGATATGTTTTTCAGAGCATTGGATAAATCTACAGGTATTTTCAAGACAATTCTATTGACTTACTAAACCAAACTAAGCATATCTGGCCACTGAACAATATGTCTAGTCATTAGACCAGAATAATATATACCTACTTTTATTTATAAATATGTGTAAGTTATGATATGGGGCTTCTATGCATCAGGAATTGCCCGTGTTGGATTTTGTACCTGGCCTCATGGATTCTGAGAAGTTCAATGGCAAATTAGGGCCTTCTGATGAGAAAATAAAACCTTGATTATTTAAGGACTTTCCTGCATTTCAATGCCAAAAAGCACATCTCTAAGTTTATCGCATGTGAGTTGACTAAAGCATCCGAAGTTGTTCAAGATTGTCCTTCTCAGCCACCGGATTAAAAAAGACTTCCATTGAATTTGAAGGAGACAGCTGTAGCACAAGGACTTTAAATATTAATACACCTTGAGGCTTTCACTCATACAGAATAAAGAAAGATTGTGACTGAGGTGAAGGAATGCTGTCTACACTAAATGAAAACATTTGTTGTAGGTTAGAAGGAAGGAATGATTGTTCAAAACAAAGCAATATCTGAAGATGAAAAAAAAAAGTTTGCAAAAAAGTTTGAATTGGTGAAGTAATGTATAGTACGTATACTACATGTGTGTGTATGTATGTGTGTGTATATATATATATATATATATATATATATATATATATATATATATATATATATATATATATATATATACAGACAGGTGCTGGTCATAAAATTAGAATATCATGAAAAAGTAGATTGATTTCAGTAATTCCATTTAAAAAGTGAAACTTGTATATTATATTCATACATTACATACAAACTCATATATTTCAGATGTTTATTTTGTTTAATTTTGATGATTACAAATGACAACAAATGAAAATCTCAAATTCATCATATCAGAAAATTAGAATATTACTGAAGACCAATAAAAACAAAGGATTTATAGAAATGTTGGCCAACTGAAAAGTATGAACATGAAAAGTATGAGCATGTACAGCACTCAGTATTTAGTTGGGCCTCCTTTGGCCTGTATTACTGCAGCAATGCGGCGTGGCATGGAGTCGATCAGTCTGTGCTGCTCAGGTGTTATGATAGCCCAGGTTGCTCTAATAGTGGCTTTTAGCTCTTCTGAATTGTTGGGTCTGGTGTATTGCATCTTCTTCTTCACAATACCCCATAGATTTTCTATGGGGTTAAGGTCAGGAGAGTTTGCTGGCCAATTAAGAACAGGGATACCATGGTCCTTCAACCAGGTACTGGTAGCTTTGGCACTGTGTGCAGGTGCCAAGTCCTGTTGGAAAATGAAATCTGCATCTCCAAAAAGTTGGTCAGCTGCAGGAAGCATGAAGTGCTCTAAAACTTCCTGGTATGTGGCTCAGTTGACCCTGGACCTCAGAAAACACAATGGACCAACACCAGCAGATGACATGGCACCCCAAACCATCACTGACTGTGGAAACTTTACACTGGACTTCAAGCAACGTGGATGAAGTGCCTCTCTTCTTTTCCTCCAGACTCTGGGACCTTGATTTCCAAAGGAAATGCAAAATTTACTTTCATCAGAGAACATGACTTTGGACCACTCACCAGCAGTCCAGTCCTGTTTCTCTTTAGCCCAGGCAAGACGCTTCTGACGCTGTCTGTGGTTCAAGAGTGGCTTGACACAAGGAATGCGACAGCAGAAACCCATGTCTTTCATACGTCTGTGTGTGGTGGTTCTTGAAGCACTCACTCCAGCTGCAGTCCACTCTTTGTGAATCTCCCCCACATTTTTGAATGGGTTTTGTTTCACAATCCTCTCCAGGGTGCGGTTATCTCTCTTGCTTGTACACTTTTTTCGACCACATCTTTTCCTTCCCTTCGCCTCTCTATTAATGTGCTTGGACACTGAGCTCTGTGAACAGCCAGCCTCTTTAGCGATGACCTTTTGTGTCTTGCCCTCCTTGTGCAAGGTGTCGATGGTCGTCTTTTGGACAACTGTCAAGTCAGCAGTCTTCCCCATGATTGTGTAGCCTATAGAACTAGACTGAAAGACCATTTAAAGGCTTTTGCAGGTGGTTTGAGTTAATTAGCTGATTAGAGTGTGGCACCAGGGGCCATCAATTTTGAACCTTTTCACAATATTCTAATTTTCTGATATGATGAATTTGAGATTTTCATTTGTTGTCATTTGTAATCATCAAAATTAAACAAAATAAACATCTGAAATATATGAGTTTGTATGTAATGTATGAATATAATATACAAGTTTCACTTTTTAAATGGAATTACTGAAATCAATCTACTTTTTCATGATATTCTAATTTTATGACCAGCACCTGTATATCTCAAAACCAATAACATTTGATGTCAGATCAAATGTATTTAGCTTCACGGTTACAGGGAACATTTCCACACACATTTTTTAAAAAGAGCAAGATAATAGATGCACCAGGAATTAATATCTTACATCTCTCGCCACTGAGTCCGACATCTGGTTATTGGATTTACAGTGTGAGCAGTTAGATCGTATCAGAGCGTTGGGCCGTACAGTGTAAGAACATACATCACGAGCTGAGAACTTTAAGACCCTTCTATTTCATCATACAGTTTGAACTGCGTACAACAGTTGAACATATCGTACAGTGTATGCCCTGCCTTAGTTGATGGCAACGTTGATTTAAGAATTTACATCATTTGTTGCACCTCTAGCCTCAATCCGTAGTTTTCTTGGACTGTCTTCAGATCAAATGATTTTTCTTTTTACATTATTATTGTTTTTTTATTTCATTTCTATGTCTGTAACAGCACAACCATGTTATTTACAGCTCTTGTAATTTATTTGGCTTTAAACTGGTCCTTTAAATCTGCTGCTCAGCTCTCATTCAGAAAAACTTTGGTCTTGTTTGTTTTCAATGGGATTTCTATGAATAAACACCTTCTGTAAAGCACAGGAAGTCTGCAACTATCATGGTAGTAATGATGCAGATGTACATTTCTCTGGAACCTGCGCTGAATGCACAAACGGACTGGATCAGGTTTACGAGGATCAATTAAAATAATTTTAAAGGCACCCCGCTGACTTTGTGACCTTATGAGTTGAGCATTGTGAGTTATTTTAAATGATTCCTCAGGGAAATATACAATGCTTGTCACTATCAATGCTGCGAATGGGGCTCCCCTCTTGAAATAGTGACCATGTAAGTTGGGAGATGATGCACCGCCATTGGACAGGTCATGCTACTTGGAAGAACATATTGCTTTTTGGCCGCAGGCTCTTATATAGTCATAGAGCTAACGCTTTTACTCTACTATTTTTCTGCCTGCCCGACAATTGGTCATGGCTGAGGCAAAGAAAAAGCTTAAAAAAAGAGAAAACGTGAAAGGGATCATACATGATGAAAAACAAGATTCGATCTTGGAAGAAGTTTAATCATTGGAGCAGGCTGAAAGAAGAAGCCGGATGTAAAACCGATTCTCTTTTCTCAACTTTATTATTAGACTGGTAAATTAACACTTTGCATACAGTCCTATATCTTTATTATTGTCGATATTTAGTAGAAGCAAAATGCTGGCAGAGAAAGCTAGCAGGCTTTGGCTGTTCACTGGAGCATTGGCTCCCAGTACACAGTCATATAACTTTTTTATTATTTTAGATGTTTAGTAGAAGCGATATACAATATAGAAAGAAAGCTAGAAGGCTACAAAAAAAAGCTAACAACCCCACAGCCTGAATGTGTAAATATCAGGCATTCTGCACAAATAACTGTTTCCTACTTTTCTCAAGACAAAACCAGTAGAAAATGGTAGTGATAACATTTTAGGACCATAATTCTGTTTTGTTGATTTTGTTTTATTCTTGCCATGGCAGAGAAGCTGTTTTTAAATGTATAGAGCTAGCAGACATGCCAAAAGTCGCTGTCCTGTAGATTTAAGAGGTTTCTCTGCTTCAGCAAAGCTGATCCTGATAATTGGAGATCAGCAAAAGCATGTTAATCAGCAATCAATAAAAGTCAGCTGTGCGAGAGCAGGGAAACCTCTAAAGACAAGGGAGGCTGGCCGGCTGACTGTGTTTACTATTGCGACAGCACTGCGGCACTAGCACCCCTAGTGGCCAACAGAAAAAATCTGATGTGGCGTGTTTGTAAAAGCCCACAGTAGAAGAAAAGTAAGAGAAATTTACGACCAGAATACAAAAATGTTGTTGTGTGAGGCCCAGTGACCCCAAACATGTTAAAACTGGTTCTGGGGAGGACAAAACAAACCTACATTTAAGTTCTGGAATAGTTTGCAATTTAACCATATAAAAAATTTGGAGATTTGGATTTGGGAGCAAATCAACACCAGGAAAAGTCTGTTAAAATGAGCTGGCAGAAAAAAAGTTTTCAAAGAGGGAATTAAAATTAGGCCAGGAGCTTGCCTGAAGCCACAAAACCTTTAAGTCAAGTTTTAATTTGACATAAAATCACACTTTTAAAAGTCCAACTTCAACACCCAAGAAAAGATAATATAATATTATCCCCGTGGTTTACTGTAAATGTACTCCAGCGACAGGACAGACAATGTAAAGGGGTTTTCATTAATCATATGAAAAATAAAGTTGCCCCGTCCCTCCAATGGATTGCATACTATCAGCCAGGTGTGTATGATGATTAAAAAGAAATAAATCTCCCAACAGTGTATAGTAAATAGTGAGTTTTGTCTTATTCTTAAGGCACTTTAAACAAAGTCATTGTACCCATCCTTCTTTTGAATGCTCTCAACTGAAAAAAAATCCTCATAAGGTGAAACATCTGAAAACAAACTAATAGTTAAAAATGTAGAAGGCAAAGGCCCTTAGCAGCTAGATTCTGTAGCTGTACAGAGATTCAATTCTAAGTAAATTTATGAATACTTCACATTTTTCCAGTGAGAAATCCTTTCTCCAACAAGCAAGACTTCAAAAAGAATCGGCACATAGAAATCAGGTCCAGATGCCCTTTCTGACATTACTTGAGTTGAGTTTTATTTTTGTCCTTTGGGCAAGTTATGAAAAAGTATTTTCGTTTGTTAAAGTTCATATAGACTTGCTGCTGGAAATGTTTGTCACAATAAAGATCACCATTGGCTGAAAACAGGAAATATTCCACTTTCTTTATTATGAACATATGCATACAATGAAAAAATAAATAAAAAATTGCAACTGACACCAGACAGGAAAGCCAAAGAATTTTCTCTATGCTAAATGCCAGAATAATAGGACAGAGATCTAATTAAATATTTTTAATTTATTGTACTTTTTAAAAAAATGCCATACCTTTAAATAAACCTAATTGATCACTTTGTAGTATTGCGTTTACATTGCATGCCATGTGCTAAAAGTTTTTGGTGTCTTTCCACTAGCTCCTTACAATAAAATACTGCATATGCCTTATAAACAGTAAAAGATCTGGTTGTTTTGATGCAGTTCAAATCTTTTAATATTTTGACGATGTCACTCCAGATAGCGCTGTCCTTAGGTGTTGCCTTGAAATACATCAAAATGTGTGCAAAACCTTTAACTCAAATGTTGTTAGCCTTAAGAAGCTAAGAATTCCTCTTCATCCCAAATTATTCAAGGTCATAATAATTTTAGTGTATGTAAACTTCTGGGTTTAAAGAGAGTTCTGCAAGAAATGTGGTAAATCTGAGATATAAATAATCTAGGTAATCCTAAATATCCTAAAAAGTAAGCAATGGTTTAGTCTAATTTAATACCAGACATCTAGAAAAGGAGGTCATGTTTCTTTTATACTGTGAATGTAAATATTTGGTTTTAGCTACAGTTGAAATGAGGATTTTTAACTTTAGAGACCTGGTTTGAGAAATGCAAAGACAGACAGAAAGGAAACTAAAGGAAAAGTACTGACCCAAAGTCCTTGACGTGGCAATCTCACTGAAGGGTCCTGCTCCAAACAAATTCTGAGACATGACGCTAAACTGGTAGTTGGTGGCAGGAGACAGGTGAAACACCTGAAAGCTAGTGCCAGAGGAGGAGGGAACAGTCATGGTAATCCAGTCCTGCTTTTCTTCATCGTCGCTGGTAGAAACCTTCTTTACCCTGCAGAGTCAGAGATTTACAGTAGAAGAAAAACAGAGCAGCTGTTATTTGATGGACTTTGTTTCTCTTGTCTATTCATATTTATTCTGGATGTCTGGCATTTTTAGTTCTGTTTTTTGTTTTCATACCTGTTTTATTACTATCCCTTAATTCCCTATGGGGATTCTGAAGAATGCAAATCTGTGAAGACACTTGAGCCAAAGCAGAAGCTGGAAGTACGTAAGAAAGGAGGTAGGAAGAGGAAGCAGGAGGCTTCCTTTTGATAGTTCATTTAGGATAGGGACTTTCTAAAGAACCTACCTGCCACATAGGAGCTATACAGTTGCCCACAATTCATGGCATGACAGGAGAGCCCCCCATGCAGAATTTTACAAAAATACATAATTTCTTCATGTGTGACTTTAGCTGTTTACTTTGTTTGTCTAACATTTGTTTTTATGTAGTTTTTTTCCCGAAAGGTTGTAGTTCTAATTTGACGAGCATCACCCATGTGTGTTTCCATGGTGTAATGAACTACAGTAATCTTGCCTTCAAGAATAATCGTCTTACTTTTGACCCTGTGAAAAGGTGGCTTGTGAGTATTACATTTAGTCATGTTCTGGTTTATTTACTGCTTATTAGTTCTGGACGGTGTTCATTTCCAAATTCTGTCATTCATTCCTTTTGATTTCTGCGGTCTCTATTCTCTGACTGCACTCTCAGCTGCTTCCACTCTTCTCATTAGTCTTTTATTCTTCTTGTTCCACTCATCATTTCTTCTCTGTATAGTGCCTCTTGGTTCTTTTGTCACCACTGGTTCATTTGCTCAGTAGAGCTCCTGTCTGCCTCGTAACAGTCTTCCCTCCAGGTTCTTTTTTTTTTTTTTTTTTTCCACTTTCTTTTTGTTTGTATCTAAACTTGAAATTCTTTGGACCTTGACTTTGCTTTTGTAAGTTGTTTTTCATGTCATTACACGTTTGTATTTTGGCTCCTCTGCTCCCTTTTGCCTGCATTTAAATCCTCCTTTCTTTTGAGACAGCAGCTAGAATTTGGGAATCTGGTTATATGAAACATGACAGAAAAGTAGGTTTCATTAATCATGTATGCTCATCATCTTCTCAAGATACTGTGACAGAGGCAGCATTGATGTATCAAAGATTTTCCACAGAGAGCTTGTAACTTCAATTAAGTGCAATTCTCCTGTTTCTACCAGAGCTATGGCCTTCAAAGCTGTAGGGTAAAAATACTTCACCGATTCAGAACGATAAAAAAAAAATATTCAAGTTAGCCTGACAAAAAAAACATACTTTAAAATGAAAACCTTGATACAAGTGAAGTAATTTGCTTCTTTAAAAGAAGAGGTAAAGTGGAAAAGCACAAAGATGCTGCGAGGCGTTAATTACTGAAAATTAAATTTCGGGTTGAATAAATACAAATGCAGGAATAAACTCCTGGTTGGTGCAAAAGGAAACCGTTTTATTCTTTTTGGCTCTATAGTCATAGCTTTTCGACAGACCCTCACACAGAAAGTATTTATGTATCCGTGTTCCATGTTCCTTTTTGTATGTCCGCTTCTCCTCGAGCCCAAGTCGGCCCTAGCAGAAGGCTGCCTACACTCATCCTGGTTCAGCTGGCAATATCTTCCTGTTAAAATTGAGTTTTTCCTCTCCACTATCGCCCCATGCATGCTGGGTAAAAGATTGCTGAAGAGTCAACAACAAAATGCAAGCTATTATCTACTGTCAAAACAAACTCATCCAATCAGCTGGTTTTCATAAAATAAAAAACTTTTAACCAATCAGACTGGATGATCTGATTGAATAGTCTCAGTAAAGTGCCTTGAGATGTGGGTGTTGTTAAATAAATAAACTGAATTGAACTTTAAATAACATCTACAGTACATTATCAGTTGAAGTACGGTAGCAAAACACATTTCTACCAAAGCTGAAGCTTTATGTATTTATCTGACCTTCATATGTTTTTTGTGGAAAAAAGTAACATCTTCACCTTTTAAAAACAGTGAAAAATGTTATTTTCAGGCAGAAGAAATTATGAGCCTTTTAAAGGCAAAGTGCAAATAAGGATAAACACAAAACCAGGCTGGGATCATTACCTTTTCACATGTTAGGTGTAACCTCAGTTTGGTTCTAGTTGTTAATTTTAGGGCACATTAACAAAAGACACAAAGAATACACTGAATCATATTTGACTTGGACAATTATATAAATCAAAGCTTTTGTTTTTTAAAGCATTTTTTGTTAAGTGGTTAGCTCACACACCGACATGGTTTAATAATAAGTCGGAAATAACCAGCCCGAATCACAAAGCATATAGGCCAGTCCTACTTTTCTGTCAAATAAGAACACTCTATATCTTGCACCTTTTACGAATTCTGCGTTTATTCTTTTACAGGTTTTCTCTGTTCTATTTGTGTATTTGTGTTTGTTTTGGAGTGTGCATCAGTGCATCAGTTTTTAAAGTGTCTTTCTACCCATCTTACTTTGTTACTTGTGTACACAGCACGGGAAATTTGGATGTTTGTAATACGTTACACACAGGAATAATTTTTTAAATTCTGTTGTTTTAGAAAACTTACTGTAAGTTATTGTGTACATAATAATTAGAAACTGGGACTGATCGATTTTGCATTACATAAAATTTTGATATTTTTCAACCAAAATGCTATTTAATTTAGATTATTAACTACATGGAAGTAATGTCTCACTCAAGCATTTCAAGCATGTTTTTCCATAGTCCAAACTGGCAGCACCTTACTGTTGTGTGGAAAAGCTCTTACTTCCACTAGCATGCATGGCGTGATAGTTGCCACTCTCTCTTCTCTTCTATGTGGTCGCAAAGCTATTTTATGCATATAACTCTATAACCATCACTGTTCCAAAAAACCTCAAGTTGTTTCATTCATGCTGATTTTTGCACAGTTTCTGTCTTGGTCACTTATATAACATGCTGCTTTCATTTTTGCACATCTTTGGTGTTGCTGCCATTTTTTCACATATCCATTAGTGTATAAATGTCCACAAATGTATATTGATTTTTTTCCCCTAAAAATTCACAGTATTTATATTGTAAAAACACTTTACAGTTTCTTAACTCACTTATTCTGTTAATTTTGTACACTTTTTTTAAGGTCCACATTTGTGTGACTACATTTGCTGTAATCTTTTCCTGCTGTAACACCATCATTTCCCCATTATGGGACAATTAAGAGATTTTCTATTCTTGTTTTCTATTATATTATGTGCTCAAAACTGAGTTCCTCTGCGATTTTAAAATTACTTTTTTTTGGGGATTATATTGCAAATGCAATTAATTTCCCTCACCTAATACAAAACTAAACAAGTTGTTTCATTTTTCTTAAAGAAATCATGTAGACCTGAGCTTTAGGCATATTCAATTGTAAAGAGACCAAGCCAAAGTCCAAACTTAAACCCATTAAAAATCTTTAGGAAATTTTATAAACATTTTCAAAAGTACACACTAGCATTCTTTATCTCTTGCCTACAGATTGTTAGATGTTTTGCAAAGACAAATGGGTAGTGAGTTTTCTTAGTACTTAAAACGCTAAACTTATTAGAGACTCAATAGTTTCCTTCTAGCTTTGGTTTGACGTTATATTTATTTAGAATATTAGAACAAAGAAGAGGGGATTCAAATATATGCACCATTTTCTTTATACCAACAACAAGCGTAAATAAGAGGCTACCAGCTTTTTGTTCAGTTTCTCTGAAAACTTTTCTTGACCTTGATGACTCAGATATTAACTGAGATTTCTAAATACTGAAAGCCAAGGGTTTTATTTTTCCTCATAATTGTGCAATACCTGATAAATATATCAAACAAAATCCATTTCAAACTCTGATTTTCTGACATAAGGGCAACAAAAGGCACTTTGAAGTTGGAGTTTGTTTTAAATTCAGGTTTTTGGTACTTATGAACTATTTATCTGAAGGTGACAGCCTTGCTGATCTAATGAGGAGCATGTCCTCTCTTTACAAACTCAGTTGTCCCTGTGATAAATTGCTCTTAACACCTTTGTAAAACATTTTATGACGCAACCCTTTTCATTTACCTGTGTGGCTCTATTCAAGAACATTTCTGTCACTGAGGTTTTTCTTTTTAAGTTTTTCAGCCTCAGAGCAAATAAACTGTGTGAATTCTAAGGTAATAAACACACAGTTTGACAAAAAAAAAAATAAAAGCCTATTATGCAGGCTTTTATCAGTAACCCTCTATTGTACCTCCCAGGGCCTCAACATTGTAATGTTACACTCCATAGCAGTGTCTTATATTGTAGCTGCCAAGAGGTGATAACAGATAAATGAATTCCTCATCCAGGGGATCAATAGAGTAATACCAGGGCTGTCGATGGCTGCTATGGTTACAGCCCTAGAAGAAGGTGGGAGGCTTTACACCCACCAAACTGAAAATGTCTGCGTTGATCCTCCATCAAAGCCTGCCTCCCAGGATAAGTTGGCCTGCTTCACCCCTGGAGAGACGGACAACGAAGTAGCCGCATGGGGACTGGTTCCTGTAATGGAGCGAGAAGAGAGGAGTTGATGGAAATCGGCCAGCACTTCAGCTACCTGACGGAGCAAAAGTTGAGAGGCCATCTCTTGATGTACTACATTTATACATTGGAGGCGGAGTGGAGGCACCGGCACCGGTTTGTACAGGTATACAGAGAAGATTTTAGGAAAATAAAGTTACACCTAAAAAAAAGTTAACCGCTCATGTAACCTTGATACACTTATACAGGTGCATCGTAATAAATCTAAAAATCCTTTTGAAGTTAGTTAAATAACTCAATGAAAAAGCGAAAACTCATTTCAAATGAATTAGTTATGTACAGAGCTTTAAATCTCTTGCATGTATTTGTGTTGCTATTGATAGAAACTGCTCTATGCTAATCAAGAGCCAAAATTGTGTCTCTCAAAATAATATCATAGAATCATGAAAATAATACGAATATCATAAAAGGCTGATCAGGAATGATGTAGAATAGAACATTTATATTTTACAAAATGGAGAAGAAAACTGCTGGTTTCTAAGCTGTCCCTTCAGAGCGCTGCATCCAAGTGCATACAGCGACAGTTTAGTGGAAGGAGAAAGTGTGGCAGAAAAAGGCAAACATCCAAGAATTTGCAGGAATAAAATAATGTGAAACAAGAGTTATGAGTCTACCTGTCTGCATATATCGCCAAAAAAACCTGAGGGGCTTTAAGCTGTATAACATAAACCTTCCATTATGACATCTTGTAAATCCCTTGGCATCTTTAAGAAAACCATTTTAAAAAGTATTACCAAATTGCTATTTACATAGACCCCTAGCACAATTTATAAGGCAATGCAAACACCTGAAGGGAGTGAACATTGCAATAGAAGACCATACAATCGGACTATTTGCTGATGATGTAGTTATATATTTACACAATTCTAATGTAACACTTCCAGCATTGTTTTTAAAACCGGAAGAATATGGGAGGATGTCAGGTTATAAAATTAATATCTCAAAAACACAGCTACTACCATTAAACCATACTCCAAGTACGGAAATTACACAAAGGTACACACTTAAATGGGAAAATAAATAAATGAAATACCTGGAAATCACACTTATGCAAGATCTGGACAAAATTCAGGAAACAAATTATTCCACAATTAACAATACAAAACAAAGAGATTTCTTGAAATGCTCAAAGTTAGTACTGGGTTTTAGCTTGAGAATAGAAATATTAAGATGAATATACTGCCTAGACTACTATACCTCTTTCTATCATTACAATTTAAGATTCCAGAAGCGCAGTTTAATAAGTGGAACCAACAAAAACGTTCTCGCGCACCTCGCTCTACTAGCTGGTCAAACTTCACGAGTCGTTTTCCGCAATTGCGGTCATAAAAACAAAACAAGCCTGCCCCCTGTCTGCGGTTACCTATAATTTGGGAGAGGAGCAGCAGAGTGTCTGCTGAGGGTGCGGGGATGTCTTTTTGTTTACTGCGACACCTATGCAGATGACCTAGTTTCAAAGTATAAATCAGCCTTAAGTCCAGTTCAGTATGCATGAGTCTGTAATGGTGGCTCTAGAAGCATTACCTCTACCTGCAATCAACACATTTTAGTCCTCTAAAGATGAATTACTGTTCAGTCATCTTTTCCTACCACACTTCCTTCTACCAAACTTTCCTTGACAATACATCTAGCTTATTTTATTAATGATCATTTGTGCATAAAGAAGGATTCTGATAACTTGAAGGAAAACTGTTAAGTCTGCAGCTGTCCCCATAGTATTGACCATAACATTTTTATAGTTCTGATTTCGTGTAGAATTACACTTTTGTATAGCCATTACCTTTGATTACATTTAATAACTATAAAACTTGAAATATATCTCTATGAGTTTAATTACCAAAGATTTACCTGTATGACAGTGTTTAATGGGACTCACCCAGAACAAAGACCTGTGTGCGGGTCTTTATGGAGGCTACACGGTTGGAGATGCTGCACTCCCACTCCCCCTGGTGGTCCTTTAGAAGAGGCTGCAGCAGCAAAGAGCCATTGGGTTCGATGGAGTAAGAAATAGGACGAACCGGGTCAACCTATTAAAACATTAAGATCATTTAAACAGAGCTGGTCAAACAGAATAAAAGCAGCACCAGTAGAGAAATATACAGAGTGGTCTTTATTGATCAGCCCACATGTCTTTATTGTTCAATAAATCAGCTATTTATTTACAGTTTGATATAAGGACTCTGGCTGTCTTGTAAGATTTTAAGTGGCATTGGATCAATGGTTCTCCAGACTTTGGATCTCTGGCTTCTTTTGACTTTACTGGTTTTTTTACCCTCTCAGTCAAATGACCAACATTTTTCATTCATTTTATTCATTTAAGGAATGTAACTAGGAACAATGATTAATTTAGGTATAAAAAGGATCCAAAAATCAGAGGACTCCTCTTTGTGTCGACATAACCTTCCTGCCGGCAGCCCATTATAAAGACAGTGTGCTGTAAATTCTTTGGTCGAGTCTAGGAGAAATCCCAGAGATAACATTTCGATAGACTGAAAATAGGATTTCAGCTCCAATAAGCTGTAAACTTGGCAAACAGTAGATGATAAATTTAAGGATGATGCGCCTCTCAGGTCTCTTCTTGATTATGTTTTTTTTTCTTTCTGTTATAGAAGTATCTTTGAGATATCAAACATTTTCATATTTAAAAAATGATGGAACCTGTAATCGGCCCTTAAAAAATCCATTAAAAAGACCAATTGTAAAGAAAATTTTTGTGTAAAAGAACTGTTAAAAGTGTAAAAGAAATTATGAAGACATCTGGGAAAGATATGACATCTGGCTGCTTTGAAACTAAATTAAATAAATGTAGTTTTCCTTGAAGATTTCTGGAATGTGTCATACACTTTTAAAGGGATAGTTCGGGATTTTTGACATGAATCTGTATGGCATCCCCATCACCAGTGTCATGCAATCACACTGACTTACCCCTGGCAGCATCCTGTGAGCAGAGTTCTGGTCCAGCTTTGGTCAAGTCGAAAGTAGTCCGGCAGGTTTGCTAGACCCAGCGAAATAAAACGTTTCTCTTTCCAAAACATTATGTGTTCAAAAGAGTGATATTTTTGCATCCCAAAAACATTGTAGTGGAAAAAGTCACACGTCGTTATCACTTGGTCCTATTTTCTCTCTGTTCGTATCAGTGCGCGCCGTCATTCTGACAGCGAGCTCAACTTTTCCAGCTCATTTCAGTGCTAACTTAGCAGCTGCGTTTACAAGCAACGCCACCGAGCTAGCTTTAGAGCTAACCAAGTTCATTAGACATTTGAGGAGGGCAGGGAAGTCGCTGTTGTTTGTGATGCAGACAGCAGCTGCTGCAACTCCGACATCCTCATCAATGGAAAGGTTCTCTATCCTGCGGCTCCGGCTTCAGCTTCCATCACTTCTCTGTCCACCCTCTCTCTTTCTGCCCGATCTAACTCCATTTGTCGAAGTTCATCGTTAGCGTACTCGGGTTCATAAAGATAACCCTTTGGCTCTAAGTGGAAGTCGATGTTTTCCTCGTCGCTCTCGTAGTCAGACATCTTCCCCAGTAGTAAACAATCGCGAATCAAACAGGTAGGCCCTAGCTGTCAGGTCATGGTGTCGCGCGCACTGATACGAACAGAGAGAAAATAGGACCAAGTGATAACGACGTGTGACTTTTTCCACTACAATGTTTTGGGAAGAGAAACGTTTTATTTCACTGGGTCTAGCAAACCTGCCGGACTACTTTCGGCTTGACCAAAGCTGGACCAGAACTCTGCTCACAGGATGCTGCCAGGGGTAAGTCAGTGTGATTGCATGACACTGGTGATGGGGATGCCATACAGATTCATGTCAAAAATCCCGAACTATCCCTTTAATACATTTGAAAAATAGATATATGACGTACGTGCAAAGTAAAGTAAGAAAATACAGCAACTGCATGAGAATTTAACAGTCATTTAGATAGGATAGAAACAGACAATCACCAAAATGGAGGAATGATCAGAGATGAAGTTATGAAGATGGGTCATAATCTCTGAGCCAGGGATTATCCTTACACCAAATTTAAGGCGGTTAGAAAGTCATGTGTAAACCATTACATTGAGAGCAAGTCTTGTCAGATTAGACTTAGAGCCTTTTTCTAGAATCCGTTTACAACAAAAAGTGTTTAATTGGCTCTTCAGCGTAAACTTCCAGACCAAATGCTCAGATAAATCTCTATGTTGGAGAAAAACTGATCTCCCATGATTTAAAAGAACTTTCACTAGTGGCTGAACTCATCACCACTTTGGACACCGTTTCTCTGTAACCGTCCTTTTTGGACTACTTGGCTGACAAAGTAGTGAGCCTTTTATCCCTGAAACATGGCCTATATCCAGGTGAAATGGAGGGTGTGGATGAAGCAGGAGATTGTGTAAGATCCCTTGGGCTTTAACTGGATAACCAAAGGGCGAGTGTATCAAATGACTAATCTTTATCGTACTGCAGAGCTGCACAGAGCAGTTTTTATCCAACAATCCAAATATACTCCTCATACTGTACTCAGAAGAGAGACTCTAGGAGGATTTAGAAATTAGGTTATTAATCCTTGCACACACCGCTTTGGCAAGCTGTTACAAAGTTTTTGCCAGCTGCTATCTAAACACACACCTCCCACATTTTATTGTTCTAAAAGCTACATCTACCCACAAGCTGAGGTCAAGTACAGTTTTATAGAATGAGCAGGGCTGCAGAGCCACCTTATACCACTTTTGATTGGATGCATTTATAAAATACAAGCCCTGGGGGCAAAATGAGTTATCATGAGTCAAATGGATGTAGGATTGGACTGTGGGAAACAAGTTTCTTATTAATTTAGAGAAATCAGTGGAAAACCAAATAACAAATAGACATATGGATCGGTGAACAGATCATTAAAAAAAAACGCAACTTAAAAATAGTCAAATTTGTTTTTTTAGGGTAGTTCTATAGAAAAGGGATTTAAAATCACTTTGGACATGTTTCGACATTTATAGAATCCAGTGTTGAAGATGTACTTTGATGCACCATAAAAACCACAGCTGTTAGGAAATCTCCCACTGTGCTGTTGGATCTATAATGCACTGCAGTGTCTGGCTATGGTTCAGTGCTGCAGGCAGCTGCATTTTAACCTCAGCTGATTTCTCTCCACTGTCAGTGATGTTTAAATTCAGCATTATGTTGTTTTAGATGAAGAGTTGAGTTGAGAGCAGTGTAAGCTAACCCCCTAATTGCTGTAGTAAAAAGGTGTACATTGACAGAGTTCAGGTGTTGTTCACCTTTCTTTATCCACTGGAGCTACAAACGTTGGTTTTTTCCTAAATGCAGAGTTTAGTGATGGCAGGAACCCTGCCTTGCCTTGTCTCTTCAGAGGGATGCATTTCCCATTTTGTCAAGCACAGGAACATTTTGCATGTGTCTGGGTAGAAAACAATGCTCCATTTGTGTGGTAAATGTGTGTACTGAAACACCAGGGCATTAATGCATTTTTTGGTTCAAATACTTTAGGAATCGCAGAAATATTAATAGTGACAGCTGCTCCTAAGGCACCAGATATATTAAGCCTATTAAGCACCAAATCATGTGGGGTCTAGATACATCCCTGAGTTGCTTGTCAGATATCAAATGTCAGGTTTTTAGAAATCTTCTTTTTCACTGTTCTTAGCACTAGAAATAAACGGGATGAGGCATCTCTTAGTTCCTATGATTCTCAGTTTTGGAACAAACTCCTTGAAAACTTTGAAGAAACATTTGGCTTCTTTAAATCTGGACTGAAAACAGGTTTTGTTTAAGCAGTCTGACTATTGAAGTATCTGCTAGTTTGAAGTGTGACACAGATTTAAAGTTATACTTCAGCCTTAAGTTGTATTTAAATCCGCTTTTATTATCTGTATATTAAAATGTTTCTTTTACACTCTAACGCTTCTCTTTTCTGTAAAGCACTTTGGACGTCCCAGTGTATAAAAGCTCCTAATAAAACACCTTCCCTTATATCATTTCTAATTTCTGCTATCTTGTCATTTTGCAGCAATGTGTGAATCAGTCGTCTCAAGGCAGTGATTCTCAGCTGGGAAAAGGTGGACTATTTCCTCTGGGTGGGGGGTCAGTATATCAATGTCCAGTTCACAAGTAATACTAAGGTTTAGATGGACAGGCTGATTGGGACTTCATCTCAAGTGAAGTGTGTGCCACTCCAGTCTGCTCTGGTGAGGAAAGAGCTGAGCCAGATAGTAATTCCCTCCAATTACCAGTCAGACCATGTTCTGACCTCCCACCTGTGCTCATAAGATATGAATGGAGAACTAAAAAACGAGATGGCAGATTGAAACAGCCAAAATAAACTTCCCCTGCAGGGCGGCCGAGCTGAGCCTGTCATCTGGAGGCTGCTCTGTTCAAATTGCCTACTAGCCACTTTCCTTTGGCTGCTTTCTGAGGATGACCCATTTGGAGAAGACCCAGCGTAAGTATAGACTCCAAATAAATTAGCATGTTGAGTCAAGTAAAACAGACAGTAATTTTTTGAAAGTTTTATGACACAACCATAACAGAATAAAAGCAACTTATCCAAGTGTTAATAAAACTACTTTTTTAACTCAACTAATATCCTGTCTAGAAGTGTGTCAATGGCTTGCTGAGTAACATTATTTCTCTTTCATCAACTGCCACATTTTATTAACAGGAAGAGCCTAACATCATTGCTGTGAACTGAAGATTCCAATAGTGTTACAAGTCCCAATATGGCCACCAGTTAATATAAGAAATCTGAGGCTGATCTTACAGTGACAGCAATGAATAGTAAGCATTTCAAGCCATCTTCGGAGTTCTTATCCACTGTTAACTTTTTGTGAAGAAGCTTTCTTTGCACCACTTTCCTTAGAAAGACAAGTAGCAGTGGTCGGTCTGATTCAGTATGAATGTTCCAACATTTCAATGAATGCAGTGGCTGCTATTCAGTTTTACTTTTTCATTTAAAATCTATTTCATTTAGTTTCATTTATATTTAATGCTGAATGTTGGAAAATTATTAAGTATCCTATCTATTCTATACATTATTTACCTTGCTCCAAGTCACTTTAGCTGTCGCATCTGTGTTTCCTTGGCAGGGGATCAGCAGCCTTCTCCCAGCATCCAGCCTGTATACCTTCTCTGGAGTGATGCTGAATGATGGGGGGTCCTGTGAAATGCCAAAGCAGTAAGCTGTATCAAGGACACTGCAGCAACGCAAAACAATGGATTTTAAGACCGGATTACTGCAGCCTTGGACAAGATTATCTTAATAACAACAGGATTAGCCACACAATTAACCCCCCACTAACTGCCATCATTGTAGTGGGGCTATGTTGACTCAGAGGGCCTCCATGTGTTAGTGGGAAAAATGTCAATAGATGTTTCTGGTGTGGACTTTTTAAAATCTAATCAGTGAAGAAACATGTTTAATTCAAATATAGTAGGACAGCTCTAATGAGAGTTTATACTAGTTATACCAACTGGAGGGTTTTTGTTCCTTCTTCCCTCTATTTTTAGAGGCAGGTCTCTGCATGAATATCTTTGAATAAGTAACATATATAGTAACAAATACTTGACAGTGCTTTGTTTTTTGTTTTCCTACACGATGAACCTGAACTGACTGAGACTATAACTATATCAAACAGGGTTCTCTTTGGAGCAGAGCACTTGGTTTAAGATGGAAAACTTTCAAGATCAAAGCCGTCTGCACATCTAGAATCATCAGTTGAAAACTGGATTGGTTTTACAATTTCTGCAAACATTTTTTACATGAAAACTTCAATTTAGATGTCCATGCAAAGAACTTAATTGTAACGTTAAAAATCATGCAACTAGTAAGCTGTATTTTCTCAGAAACTCAAAGACAATCCAATGCATATAAACTCCCTACTTGAAAGTACCAAGACTGAATAAAATTGCAGAATAGATGAGACATCAAATGTTTAAATGGACAAACAATGAGGTTAAAATGTTGCTTCAGATTATTTTTGATTATAAAACCACCCTAGTCGATTTTAAACGGGTCAGCATCCATTTTGCTAGGGGCGTACACATTCATTTCTTCTAACTGCAGTCATATTGCGCCTGTGCCAGGGCTTCTCCACAGAGCCAGGTTCTATTCTTCCAGTTGACATGACAATAGAGGCAGGGATGTTTCTGAATGGTACAATCCCAAACCTGTTTTCATACTGCGCATTTTTTAGAGAAAACGCACAGAATTGACCTAAACAACAGAAATCCCTCAAAACTTTTCAGTTTTTAACCAAATGTCTGCACATGGCACAATTTCAATTACCTCAAACAAAATCAATTAGGTCTATTTTTCAGAACAAAGGTCCCACTGCAATTATTTCCAGTAAGCAAGAACCCTTATACAAATGACAAAAAAAGCATAAATTCGGTTTGCTTACTGTAATATAACTTCATGTTCAGGGTCTAAAAAATTCTACTGGCTAAAAAAAAAAAAAAAAGCGAACTTAATTGGTTCTTAATTAATTTATTTTTTTTGTAATTTATTTTTTCATTTATTTCAGTCTTTTCATTAAATTTTTCGGAAGTGTACTCCAACCGCAGAGACAATAGAAAAGTGAAAGGACAATTATTGGCTCGGTGTCTTTCTGCATGGAGTTTGCATGTTCTCCCTGAGCATGCGTGGGTTCTCTCTGGGTACTCCGGCTTCATCCCACAGTCCCAAAACATGACTTTTAGGTCAATTGGCTTCTCTAAATTCTCGTTAGGTGTGAGTGTGTGCGTGAATGGTGTTGCCCTGCGATGGTCTGGCGACCTGTCCAGGGTGTACCCTGCCACTCGCCCATAGATAACTGGAGATTGGCACCAGCACCCCTCGCGACTCCGCTTGGTGACTCGTGACGGAAAATGGATGGATGGAAAATTAGCTTTGATATTGCTCTGATTAAGTGTGAGCTTGCAGAATGTTGCTAGCAGGTGACCCAGAGGACTGTGTGAATACTAACCTGTAGAATCACACGGGTGGGCCCAGACGGCCCCATGCTACCATAACTGTTGTATGGAGTACACGTGTAGGTCCCTTCAGCATCCTCATTGACAGTTGCCATTACCAAGGAGCCATCAGTTTTTAAAGTCCACCCCGGATACTGAAAGAAAAGCACAGTTATCAGGCTGTCCCATAGCTACTTCAGAAAAAACATACAGGACCAACTAATGATGGCACATGGATCTCATTACATTGGAACATTTAATTCAAGTTCTAAGTAAATTGGGTCAAAATGTGAAACTCATGTTCAGAGTAATATTTGGAAGGATATATGGAAGGATCAGCATATAGGTCAAAAGTTTGCAATGCTGCCACGTATTTTCAGAGCAGGTTAAAAGTACATTTTCTACATGCAGATTTGTGCTTAAAACATTGTGCCATAAGTCTTTATTGTGTGAGTGGGCATACCTCTAATATGAGGTCCCTTTAGTCAGAGATTTAGTCTAAGCCATTTCTATCAAAACGAATTAGTTTAAAAGCATAAACATGCAGGCAAATGGCCCTGATGAGATACAAGTTTCAAATTTTAAACCAAATTACATAACTAAATACAACTTTTACTAAAATTTTACTAAAACAAATCACTGAGATTAATTTGTATGTGTGGGAATTAAATGAATGAAACTAAAAGGAAATGTTTGAGCTTCTATGATGTGTTTTAAGGTTTTCTACAAAAGCTCTTTGTAGAAAACTCTCATACCTAGAGTAAGATAGGAAGATTTAATTCACGTTTAATACCAATGTCTAAATTGTCCGTCTGTATACAATAAGGATGATAAATAGCTGCTGTCTGAAATATGGGTCAAAGAATAAGTGACATGTCTTTTCTTTTAAGAAAAAAGAAATCTTTCTGGTTACATTAGCGAAATGTACCTGAAATAGCTTTTATGATCCATGTTTGAAAAACAGAATTAAAAGCACTCAAAAGTAATTTTTTCCATTACGCTTTCATGAAAAGCTTTCACCGTGCTTAAATATCCCCTACTAAGTTTAATGAAGGCAAAAGTGCCATTATTCTCTGTGGATTGATGCTGTAAGCATCACAGTGGACGTGCAAACCCGTGAAAACTACAAAAGGACGGGAATAATTGGCAGAATAAGAGCACATTTCTGGGCCTCCTTGTACCGCCCAGCAGGAATCTCCTGTGAAGCATCTCATTTACCGATGCATCCGCTGCTCCGACTAAAGTTTAAAGATGGTGGAATTGGGTTACATTTCAACACGTGAAAAGAAGCAGCAAACACAGACCTTTTACAAGAAAACCACAGATGGTGAGTTTATTTTCAACCAAAAAGAAACCGATAAGAGAAAATGAGGATTTCCAATCAGGAAAAGTGGAAGAGGAAAAAGATTTCTAAATGCAGGGAAGTCCTTTTCCAGCTCCCTAATCCGTAATGGTTTCTCCACTCATTTCTCCAATGAGGGGGGAGGTAAAAGATCGAAGTGAAAGTGAGGGACAACAGGGAGGTGAGGAATTCCTGAGGGATTGCTTCCAGAGCTTTTAAGACGGAGCAAATTAACCATATCCATTAAAATGTATGTGATTGAATGGCCTCGCACTGAAAAGCTAGGAGGACACTTCAATCACGGGCAGAGAGAACATCAGTGAGGATGTCCCAGTTAACCCCAGAATTATTCATACCCCAGGAAGATTTATGTTTAAAGTAATCATTTTAAACAAAAGAAAACATTCAGAAAAGGCCAAGCAGATGAAAATTAGGGTGATGGCAAATTGGCCTTTCAAACTGCAAAACCCGGAGGTTTTTCCCATGAATAAAAAGTCAACATATATCAGTTAAAATATGCAAGAAGCTGGTTGGCAACTCTAAGGGTTTGGCAGCTGTAGTACAATAAGAAATTATATAACTAGTGCTAAAAAAGGTGTACATATCTATGAGGAGTATTTTTTTTTAAATCAAATAAGATTCATGACACAAAAGATGATATATTCATTATATATGTGTGTGTGTGCATACTTTCTTTTTTCGCACTCAGTTTCCCAGCATGAGGCATGCAGATGTCAATAACTTTATTTTTACATATCCTTCAAACACACAGCTGCAATAGTTTAAAATACACCTCTGCTGAGAGAAAATGAATAGGTTCAGCCAATCTACCTGGAAGCCTCATTTAAAGTGTTGCTGACGACATCGTATAAACAACAGAATTTTCTTAGAACCAGAGTTGAGCACTGCTTTTAGGAATTGTACCTAATTCTGGGAATTATTGCCTTTTATTTACCATGGAAAGATCCAGAGGCTCTCCGTCTTTTATCCAGTTCACATGGAGCAGCGGAGGCTGAGCTGCCACCGGGCAGGGGATCACACCACCCATACCTGTGGGAAGGTATGTTTCCTGGGGCACTGGAAGAGCCTTGGCTGGATCTGAGTGTAGTCAGAAAAATCAAAGTTAATAAAATCCATCATGATTATATGAAGTGTCCTTTATACATGCAGAGAGACCCGCATTCTTTAACTTGTTTATTTCACAACAAACAAACTTGAGGAAAATACATTATGCGTGTAATAGAAAAAAAGCTGAAACTGCAGAAAAGACGTAGAACTAGTTGTTGCGCAATTACAGAAGAGGATTAGGGCCACTGAAAAAAAGAAAAGTTAACTGATTTTTAAATTTTATTTCAGTTTAACATGGGAAAAAAGTTAGAATTCTGACTTTGTTCTCAGAATTCTGACTTTTTTATTGTCAGAATTCAGTCAGAATTCTGAGATAAAAGGTCAGAATTCTGAGAAAAAAGTCAGAATTCTGAGAAAAAAAGTCAGAATTCTGAGAAAAAAAGTCAGAATTCTGAGAAAAAAGTCAGAATTCGGACTTTTTTCCCATATTAAACTGAAATAAAATTTAAAAATCAGTTAACTTTTTTTTTTTTTTCCACTGGCCCTAATCCTCTTCCATACACAATACCTGATAGAAAATTAAAATGAAAAAAAAAAACAATTGGGCTGCAAAGAATTTATAAAATCTAAATAAAAACTGAATTTTCTATTGCATGGTTGTTGTTTTTTTCCTCAATAGAGTTTCTGAATGGTTCTAAATATTCAACAAGCATTTTTTTTTTAGAGTTTGATCCTTTTTTCAGCCCATTTATATAAACCTTCCCTTTTGAAAACTGATGGTTTTCTTCTAGTCCAGGGGTGTACAAGTCAGTATCAGACTCAGGAACTCATTTGTTATGGAATTAAGTCTACAAATATTTATATCCAAGAACGTCTTTACTCTTTTTTATTAATGCAGACCTAAAAATTAACTATATAAAATTTTATACGACTTGGGACACGTAGGAGGAACTAGGAGGAGCAGCAGAGCTGGAGGAGGCTCCCACCGCGGCCTGATCCCGGATAAATGGGAAACGAAGAGTAGGAGTACAAAGGTTGGTCTTCTCCATATGTATGCAGGTTAATTTATAACCCTCAGTCAAAGGAGAAACAAATTTATGTCCTAAAGACATTTCTGTGACTTGCATGAAAATCAAGCAAAGTTTAACGCTTCAGACTTTCTTCAGAACAGCACAGGTTTATTTATATTTACAAATTTCCATATTGTGACTTTGAAAGTGGTGTGGACTGAATCGGTAGAACCAATATTTAAAAAAAAAAATCCAAGGACTGTTGTAAGTGCAGTACAGATATCTGAAATAGATTTTTTTCCTACCATTTATTGTTTCTCTTATTTTTTTGGTGACGATCCGTTTTTTAGCAAATATCTCAAAGTGATCAAAAATGTTGTTTACATAAGTAAATGGAGGAACATCTCAACGAGTGAATAATACCTAAAACTTAACTGATGCAAACATAAGCTGGTCTTTGCTCTACATTTACTCCACACTGTTTACCTTCTCCAGTTATGCCCCTGAGGAAGGCAAAGAGGATATAGATTCACAAAACTCCCACTTGGACTCAGGTCTTTATCAATAATCAATATGGAGAGTGCAAGCAAGTGTAGTAAGGTGTAATTTGTGTTGTCAGATAGCCATTATTTAAGGACTTGCATCCTTTGTGCTATTGATGAGCTGGTCTTTTTAATTTGCTATGCTGTCATTGTTAAATGTGCTCTGAACTAGTTCAGGACTTCCTGCTGCCCAAATCAAAATATACTACTTTGTACTCTTGGGTCACTCCTCATGTTGCCTTTGATACCCTCTGCTACCGCACTGGAGAACTGTCACTAGATTTCCAGCATGGTAGGTAGATAATAAAAATGAATTAAAGGGTAGGTGTTTCAAACAGACAACATCCTCTGTGAATGTGTCAGACAATGGGTAACAGAAGATGAGGTGCTAGAGACTCCCACATGGGAGGATAAGCCCCTACATGGGATGAACCACCGAAACATGATCGAAGTGGCAGTTATTAGGAAATCCTACGAATGGCTAGACAAAGCCGTAATGAAGGACAGCACAAAGGCACTCATCATGGTTGCACAGGAGCAGGCCCTAAGCACAACAACAATAGAGGCCCTAGATCTACCAGACTACACAAGACCACATGGTGCAGACTGTGCAAAGAGGCCCCTGAGACAATCCAGCACATAATTGCAGGGAGTAAGATGCTGGCAGGAGAAGCTTACATGGAGCACCATAACCAAGTAGCTGGAATAATGTACAGGAACATCTGTGCAGAGTATGAGCTGGAAACTCCAAGGTCAAAGTGGGAAACACCTCCAAAGACGGTAGAGAATGATCAAGCCAAGATCCTGTGGGACTTCCAGATACAGACGGACTGAATGGTAATGGCAAACCAACCGGACGTTGTGGTGGTGAGCAAAAAGCAGAGGAAAGCCTTTCTGGTTGACATAGCAATACCAAGTGACTGCAACATCAGGTAAAAAGGACATGAAAAACTAGAGAAAGGACCCAAGCTTGGAGGAAAAAAGGGGGGAAGACCGCCAGTGATGGGTGAGGAAGGGTTTATATATATATATATTTGGAATAAGCACAGAAATAAATGTTACATACGCATAACTGTTAGGATGGCCGAGGCAGTAGGTGGAGTTAGCAGCCCATTGGTCGGGATGCAGGTATAGTTTCCAGAGTCTTCTGGCACTAAGCGGGAGATGTGCAGAGTTCCATCCACCTGGATCCTTACACGTGACTTCAGAGACCTGCAGACCACACACAGGAGACATGAGTAACATTCAACCTAAGCCTGATTTATCTGAACAGGGAAGGGAACAGACAGATAAAAGTCAAAACCACAACAATGGAGGTTTGTTTTTCTTTGAAAGGAAGAAGATTTTACTTAATGAAAAATGTGAGAGGAATCAGTTGGGATGACATTTATCAGCATAATTTTATCTCTTTAAAGTAATGTAATCTCATTTAATGATAAAGTCTCCTTTATTACTCTTTTTTTCAGTCTAAGGCAATCTAACAAAGTCACTGCAGGCGTTCGACAGAGGATCAAGAAGCAGAAGAAAGCAAGCTGATAGGGAGAAGAAAGGGTATGAACAGAACAGTTTCCTTCAGCTCCTCTAGTCATAGCTCAGTTGTGTTTTTATTTTCCCACAAGCAGCAGCAAAAGGACAGGGTAGAATCACATGCTGCTGTCTTGCTTGGCAGTAAATCTCCTGAGTTCAGTGCGCTGTTAAACCACAGAGGCAGGGCTGCCATTAACGGGCATGCTCTCTGTTTGACCCCTGCTCCGATTCCCCGCGAAGACACTGACTGGAGTGTTGGGCAAACAACATTCAGGCATAATCTTTTAGACAAGACTGTCCAATGGGAAGAGGAAACGAGTTTAAAACAAAAGCATTTTCAATTTACGGACAGATTAGAACAGAGCTTTGCAATCAAGGATGACAGGTGAATGTCTTTTTCATCTCTTTTTGCTGTTTCCTTCCCCCTTTCCTTAAAACATTTCTTAGATTTTATTTTCTTGCTTCCTTCTAACCCCCATCCTGTTCTTACTGCTGCCCTGTAGTCCATCCTTTTCATCTTCCTTTCAGCCTTTTTTCGCGGTTTTCTCTCTTCCTTACCTCAGATTTTTCCTCTATTTTTGCTTTCTTTTCTTATTAACTTACATCATTTTTCCCCCTATATCATTCAGTTTTCAGTCATATGATCAATTTCTCAGTTTTCTCTCCTCTTCCCCTTTTCCCCCATTTAGACTCCTCGGTTCTACAGCTTAGCTTCAAAATAGAAGTTGATTCAAATTAACTCACCAAACATAGATATAAAAAGCAGATAAACCACCTTCAGAGGATAGTTAAAGAAAAACCTTGTTTACCAGTCTGGCACCAATACTGAGTACATTGGCTGTTTTTTGAATGAATTCCCGAAATAGTCAATTTTCAATGGTTGGTGAGAGATAATTGAATCATCTAAAAGTTTTGAACTCGGCTATTAGCAGCTATTTTCTCCACATCAACTCCAAATGCCCGTCTGAATAGCTCCCCTCATTAAAATCATGTAGGGTATTAACCTGAGCACAGCTGTTATGAGTTGTGGTGCGTTCGATGTAGAAATGTTAACGAGGGGACCTAATGGAAATTAGCCTCCACCACCCATCTGCTCATCTGACCTCCTCCTCACTACTGGATTCACTTAAGCCTGCTGGATGACAGACGGTGGATATTATTATCTATTTACACCAAAATCAGACCCTCTGTCTGTTAGTCTAACATTTGTAACAGACAAACTTGTCAGTTATGTAGAACACTCTTTTTTACTTGGAAATGTCAGTGACATTACTGTTTAACTTTGGCAAAAGAGCGGAAAAAACAAGAATCTCTTGAAGCATTTATGTCAGTAACCTAATGCAATCCATGTAATTAACTCCAATTATCACATTCATTATAAACAGTTTAAGTGATGTACTGGGCTGTCAAAACGTATTGACCTTACAGATTTCTTCTGTTTCTGCTTTTCACACATAATTGTTTCAGATCATCTAAAATGTTAATATCACAGAGAGAAAACACAAATTAAAAATAACAATAAAACAAAAGCTAATTAGTGGCTATTTGCATTTTTCATCAGAATTTTCCTTATAGTAAAAACTGAGTTTGATGTAACCAGAGGTTGAGGTATGATAACTGCCAAACCTTTGGAATCATTCCTTCAACGGTTTTCTACCGTCTTCTTGCTTGTCCATGCAAGTTCGTTGGAGCTGTGGGTTCCATCTAAAGTTTTAATTGGTCAAAGGCCATCCGACACAGACACCCATGCACCTCATTTCTACACTCATTTCTATGGGTAACAAGGTAGAAAGAGCCAAGGTCAGAACTCAAACCTAAGACCTTCTTGTAACTATACCACTCTGCAAACTACTGTGAAATCAATAAATTGAAACAAAATTCAACAATATATCAAAACGAATTGCAGAAGCATGTCCTTAATTAAACAAATTTAGGGTTAAAAAGCGAGAATGACTACTGCCTATTACTATACAGCTCATCAACCACTCATTCAGGAGGCCAAAAAAAAAAACCCAGAGCAGCATGTAAAGCTCAAAGCATCAAGGTTCAGCAACAAGAGAGAGACAGATCAAAAGAGGCATCCATGATTCCAATGTCAGAACCAATGATGTCTGAAAAGCAGATCAAGGCATGTCTTGGTGATCTGGAGGATTTCTTTGCAAAACAATATTCAGTAGATTTTTGTACAGTTGATTTTTGAAACTCACGTTGTGCACTCTGCACCATCTGATACAAAATTAACAGCATTTCGGGCAGATATTCTCCTGGAAGAGTAATGTGTGTGTACATATATATATATCCCTCACTTCTATCATTTTGTTTCTTCCATAGTAAACCATTTTACCTGGTTTAACTTTTAAAAAGTGGGCCAAGAGCAAGAGTCAGCCACAAAGACCAAAGATTTAAGATATCCAAGAGTGTCCACAAAATCAAGGACTGTACACCTATAAATTATCAGAGAAGATCTAGCAGTAGGTGTGTGTGACTGCATCTGCACACACACTGAGGCACGAAGTTTTGAACACCAGAAGAAGCCACTGCTGCGGCAGCAACATCAACAACATAAATTCTCCAGGAACTACAAAGGAGGACGGCAGAAAGCTGAGCTTCTGTGATGGATCCTTCTTGGGTTATAACCACCAAAACATTTGTCATCCAACTCTGTGGATCAGCACATGAGCATACTTAACAGGCTTTTAGGCAAATGTTTTCATGGATTTGCTGTGAGAAGCTTTTTATGTGGATCTATTAAACAAAATTACAGACATTGAACTCAGGACACAAATTATATCTAAAAGGAGAGAGGAGAAGCTTTTCACTTACTCTATGTGATGGACGTTCTCACCACCTTTCTGCCACACGTAGGTCATGTTAGGCGGGTCAGACTTTGCCTGGCACTGCAGCAATGCATTCTGGGACATGTTGAGGGTTGTGTTTTCAGGAGAAACAATGATAACAGGTGGACCTAAACAGAAGAAAGTAGAAGGTCTATAGAAGTTTGTTTTATTTTGATCTCACCTTTTCCGTATTTTTTGAAACAGGAAAGGAAGGAAGGAAGGAAGGAAGGAAGGAAGGAAGGAAGTAAGGAAGGAAGTAAGGAAGGAAGGAAGGAAGGAAGGAAGGAAGGAAGGAAGGAAGGAAGGAAGGAAGGAAGGAAGGAAGGAAGGAAGGAAGGAAGGAAGACACATAATTACTCTGCCTTAATCAAATTAAGTTTTCTTATTATTTTATTTTTAAGTTATTTTCATGTCTTTCCATAAAGATCAAAATAGAAATCTAGACTTTAAAACCTATGCAGCATGTAATCAAAAACTAAAGTTTCACAAACTAAAGGCACAAATTACTTTATCTAATTGATTGATTGATCTGATCTTTTCTCGCAACAAAGGTTGATTTAAATGTAATTTACTCTACTTTGGAGGCTTTAAAGTATATTGTGGAAGAAATAAAGATTTTTTTTCTCCAATGATGAGATGTGAGTTTATCTAAATCTGTTGGAGATAAACAAATCCAATGTACCATCAACGAATGCATATAAAACAAGGACCAAAATTAAATGCGCTTAGATTTTTCTTTTTTGAAAAGTACAATACTTCTTTGACATACTGTACAATTATACTGATATTTTTCCAAGTATTCTTATCTACACTTTGTTTGTAGTAAAACTGAGTGGCATCTTGGGTTCATTAGTTCAATAACAGCTATTAAAAGTTTTCTACATGCCAATTGTTTTGTTTGTGCGACCTTTACAAGAGTAAAAACAGATGTAATTCATTTTGCTGTAACTTAACTAGACCTGTGTGTTTCATACACATGGGAATAATATTAAGCAGCATCTTCGATGCCGTTTTAGAGAAGAGCTACAGGTAAGTTTGAATATGATCAAACTGTTCAGTTAATTGTCTCACTGTTAGGTAAGGTGTAGGATATGTGATGCTGTGGGCCTGTAACTCTTACAAAGACCTCTGTAATCCTGTTAAGGGTCACTATATTATTTAAAATACCAGGACATTAAAGTTCAAAGTAAGATGGCTTGGAGAAAAAAATAAAAATTTGGGGGTTTAACTCAGATATGAGTCAAATGATACAAAACAGACCTCAGAAAACCTGCTGCATCAGCCTGAAACGGGACCTAGGGTTAGAAGGTACGTGCAAAGAGGATTGGGCAACTATTCATTTTCTGACTACCAGAACCAAGGATTGTTAAACAGTTCACATGATTTTACGATAAAATACACCTTTTTTGCTTAATGATAGTTGATTCCTAAAAGAGTGAAAAAATAGTTAATAGATTTAGGGCGAAATTTGTTTTTCCACTCCGAGCCAAGCCAGTTTGAATAGCTTTCTTTCCTTTAAAAAAGGAAGTCAGCATTGGATTTTTTTTTTCATACTTATTCAAGATTAATTTTTTATTTTTATATGCTATTTTTTTGTGCTATTTATATGGAGGCCAGGTCAAAATAGAAGAAAGAGCAAATAGATCAGGGGAAGTTTAAAAACCAGGAGGGTCTGAGTGAGGTTTGACATTCGGCTGACACCTGACAGAGGGAAGTTGTTGGACTGCTCTCTATCTAGACAAGAGGCAAAGTGAACAAGGTGGCCAGGAAACTAATAAAAGAGAGTGGGCAGTCTCATGGGCTGGAAAATTCACAAAGACAAGAAGAAAATCAAACCATGACACCTATGGGAAGTGATTATTTGAAAAAACAGGTTGGGCCCAAACAATGACAGAGAGGAGACAGCTGGAACATGACAGGAATAATTTCTTTCTTTGTGTGCTTACTGGGAGTGGTTGTTTTAGTTTTCACACTTTTGTGGTGTTCTTAGCTGACTATAGTGTTAAGATTAAATGTTTAGAGGATAGAAAAAAGACTCAAGCTGAAGTTTAAAGCATTTCATCCATGTAGACACCTAGGGATGAGAATTACTCATAAATATGCCATATCCTGGAACAAACAAGCAAACAAGATGGCATTGGCTGCCTTTAGACAATCCCTTCTGAGTGATAGCATTTCTACTTTATTGTATTTACAGGGAGGAGCTTAAGTAATTTAAAACAGACTTTAACAGTCTGAGTTTTATAACACATTTGTACCAAATATATCTAACAAACATTTAGATATGTCATATAATTCAGGCAATGTTGATTCATATTAATGAGTCTGGTAAAGAATTTTGAGCCGTCTTAGTTCAGTGTATTAAAAAACGAGCTTTGAAGTGGAGAACGATCAAAACAAATGTGGAAAGAAGACCAGTCATCACGCCACCAGGAACCTACAGCTGAAATTTGATATGGTTAATATGAAACAGCTGGATCAAAAAGAAACACTGAATAGGTTCAAATTTAATGGGAGGTCTGCAGGTAGGAAAAGTTGTCCTTTAAAAAAAAAAATAAAAAAAAAAACATAAAGGCTAGACCAGATTTAGCCAGAAAGCAAGTGGCTTATGTTTACATAAGGGCTCTTGATATATATTCTAAGCAGATTGGTCTAAAAATAATCATTAGGTCTCCAGAAAAAGGGGCATAATTACAATGAGCAAGACATATCCTTCCAGAGAAAGAAACAAATATTAACTGTGGAGGTATATGTGTCATGATGGTTCAGAGATGTTTTGCTGCTACAGGGCCTTTGAAAAACCAACTGTGATTCAACTGCATTATATCTAGTCATCTTAGATAAAGCACAAAAAAATACTTATTCCATTAGTAGATAATCTTATTGGTCTTATTTAAAAATATAAAATCTTTTTTAGAACAGTAATTGCAGTATGAACAAAATACATGAACATGCTTTAATGATGCACTTAGTATTAAGCGAATGTCCATTTAAGCTTATTTTGTTTTTTTCTCATGTGGAGAAATCTCTCGATTTCCACCTCAGCAGTGACCATATAAGAGGAACAGAACATAAACAGACCCTAGACAAGGAAAATAGGCAATGCAAACCAATTTAGAAATTAGTCATGATCTGCTCTGAGATGAAAGGCTGCTTTGAAATACTCCTGGTTATATAATTGGGATCTATGTTAGAGGCCTACATGTAAGCAATGATGAATAACATAGCTAAAAGCTGAATCAAAAAAAAAGTTTAAAGATGATCAAAATACAAATACGTCCATTTTCATCCAAAGTGTGACGTTAAGACTGACGTGGACAAGTAGTAAACCGTTATGGCAGAGGACTGTCTTGATGTTTTATTTATCTGAGGTGCTTTAAAAGGCTAATAAACAGCAGCCTGCCCCTCCACCAGCTTTACGAATAAATAACATCATAATCTCTGCTGCAGTCATTACACATCAGGGTTATAATCCAACATCCGTGAGGGATCTGTACATAAGTAACAGTTTAAAGGTTACTAAAGGCTTTTAGACTCTATTCATGTTGATCAGATATTACTCAGGATTAATCCACCCGTGTGGGAACGCAGCAGGAAACCACTGCCAAAGCTCAGATAAAGTGATTTCTGAGAGCCCATGGGGATTATTAGGTGTAATGTCACCACTCTCACTGTAAAAATCCAAAATTAAGTTAAACCTGGATCAGACTCTGTGCTAAAATCTAAAAGAATTCTATATAAATATCTCCCCATGCAGCACGCTGCAGAGCAGATGAGTCCTGGTTCTCCTGAGGAAAGAAATCTGCAGTAGGAGTTGGAGTAGGTGTACAGGAGAAAGTCAGAAATAAATTCCACTGTTTGTTATGCAGAGCTGTGTCGGTGTAATCCAATGATGCATGGATGGATATTTGCATATTCTTCATGCTTTGTCCCTAAGATTTACTTATTTTTATTTTTAATTTTATTGACAGTCATGATTTTGGGCAGAAATATTTTTTGCATTTAACTAAAATTAAAACTGCAAGACTTCATGATGCCAAAATGGCTCTTGTTTCTTATCTGGACTTTTCTTTAATTACCCCTGCTTTTAAATCTAAATGAAATAATGGCAATGTCAGTTTGGATTTATTACAACTGCCGGTGAAGAAAGGAGGAAAAAGAGAAATTCAAATTAGCTGAAAGAAAGACAGGCAACAGCTGACCTTTGATCTTCACGGTTGTCACGCAGCTCACGTTTCCCTCAGAGTTGGAGGCGTGGCAGGCGTACAGTCCTGCTGATTGTGTGGTCACTGCTGGCAGAGATAAGGCTCCTCCCTGGAAAACACGAAAAGACACAGAGAAAGATGTTACTAAAAGATGATTTCACATGGGAGGTGTTTAAAAAAAGTTAAACACATTAAATATGCAACATTCAGCTCTGTGAGCCAAAAACTTTCTGATATTTAGTGGAAACCATCATTTTCTCTTTCCATAGAGGATTTCTTCTGCCAGCGGCAACAGCACAAATAAATACTTTATTTATTTGCATTACTTGTCCAAAAATGGGAAGAGTCTAATCTGTGACAGTTTTTTTTGTTTTTCAGCTGGGGTTTCCTTTTTGTTGCGCTTAATTAAACATTCACTGCTCAAAAAAATAAAGGGAACATGTAAACATCATAATATAAGTTCAATTAATCAAATATCTGTGAAATCATACTGTCCAATTGGAAGCAACACTGATTGACAATCAATTTCACATGTTTTTCACATGAAATAGACAGCAGATGGAAATTATCGGCAATTAGTAAGACACTCAATAAAGGAGTGGTTCTGCAGGTGGGGACCACAGAACACTTCTCAGTACCTATGCTCTCTGGCTGATGTTTTGGTCATTTCTGAATGTTGGTGGTGCTATCACACTCATGGTAGCATTAGACAGACTCTAAAACCCACACAAGTGGATCGGGTAGTGCAGCTCATCTAGGATTTAACATCAATGAAATGTCGGGGCGACAGTGGCATTGGAGTCTACCCTGAAACTGAAGGGTTGACGGTTCAAGCCCCGGCAGCTTTCAGTGTCGTCGTATCCTTGGACAAGAGTCACTGAGCCCCAGGGAAGCTGTGGCTACTACGTAGTTAGCCACCATTAGTGTGTGAGTGTTTCCATGAGTGTAGTGTAAAGTACTTTGGTCAAGTCTCCTGGCTATATGAATACAGGTCATATACCATTTCCCATATAAATGTGGCAAGGTTTGCTGTGTCTGTCAGGGTAGAGTCCAGAGGCTGGGGGCGCCACCAGGAGACAGGCGAGTACACCAGGAGACATGGAGGAGGCTGTAGGAGGGCAACAACCCAACAACAGGAATGCTACTTCTGCCTTTATGCAAGGAGGAACAGGAGGAGCACTGTCACAGCCCTGCAAAATGACCTCCAGCATGTCACAAATGTGCATGTCACGTTGCAAAATATACAAAAGTGTGTAAAGTAAAAAAGTTTTTTTTTTATTTTTTTATGAAAAGGTACAAATTAACTTTAAAGCATTCCAATGGCAATTTCTTTTTGGCACTTTTCAAAACTGGAAAATAAAGGGAAAAAAATTATCTATGAATAACAACTAGCATCACCTAACTACAGAAGTTCTAAATTTCACTCGATCTTCTCTGTAGGGTTTTTTTTTGGGTTTTTTTTTTTTGGCTGCACAAAAGATGGAATAACAAAACAGAACTGTTATAAGGATACATAATAGGGATGGGACAATTTATGAAAACCGTCAGAACCGTTCGGTTCGACTGTCTCGGTTCGATTCGCGTGTGTTTCGTTCGGTTCATGCGCTGCTCCTTTTTCTCATAGGCGAAGCGTTTACACTCCAGAGCAGAAGGTGGCGGTACTGCGACCAAAGCCAACCACCAGCAGTAGTAAACAAGAAGAAGAAGAAGAAGCGAAGCAGCTTAGCCAGGTGTAGCAGGGAAAAAAATCAGTTGTTGTAGAGAATTGTGTCGGAATGGCGAGTGGGAAAGAACAGGAGTTGGAAGACGCGCCAGCAGCACTTTATAGGTCTGCTGTATGGGAGCGCTTTGCATTTAGAGTGACCTACGATGACGGCGGAAAGAAAGTTCTGGATAAAAGCATTGTGCAACACGTGTTGTTTATGCTAACAGCAACATGACCAACATGTCATGCTAACTCCGAAATCCCTCATACTCCGTCAGCAACCCCCGCTCCACCCCGCTGCGCTCCAGACCGGCTGCTCAAAGCAAAGCCTACAGCCCCCACTGTGGCTCCCGTCCGCTCCCCTCTGAGTTCCTTGGAGATGGTAGAGAGCATGTGCGAGATGATTAAATTTAAAGCAGCAAAACATACGGAAATGATCCAGGGTTTCCGCGGATCATTTAAAATAATTACAATCCATTATTTTTTGGGGGATTTTTACATTAATTCCATAAATTTTTATGGGTATTTTATTTCGGTGTAACAATCAACATGTATCGAACCGAACCGAAAACCGTGACCAGAAACCGTGAATCGAACCGAACCGAACCGTGGATTTTGTGAACTGTTCCACCCCTAATACATAACTAAATATTTGTAAGGAAAACTACAAAAGAGAGATACTGGGTAACACTACGGTTGCAGCTATTGATGCTTTGAGTAATCATGAATGTAGAAATTTATTTTTTCAATAAAAGAAATCATCTTAAGGTACTCAAAAACAAATGTTATTTTTGTCTTAAAACCAAAATGTAAAATTTTTGATACCTCTTGCTTAATTAATGCACTGACCAGGTTGTCCTTTAATCAATTAGCATGCCAAACCAGATGAAAGTGCGCATTCAGCTCGGCAAAGAACTCATGCTCTTCCTCAACACTGAAGTCCTCAGACATTTTTCTTTCGTTGTTTCTTTCTTTGCACAGGTAAACAGCACATTTCTTCTTCTATGCTTGCATTATCGACAGAGCAGACGCTGAATGCGCACTTTCATCTGGTTTGGTCTGCCGCGGTCTCCGTAGGCTCGTGAACTCGCATGCACGCGCTTTTAGGAAATCCTATACACTACTGTTTATGCTCTAAAAACATTCTAAATGACTTTGTTTCGAGTAAATTATGGACGCTACCCACTCAGGACACTTGGAATACATTGGACGAGCAATATGGAGGAATATTGACACGTTTTTTGTGGACTTTTATGGACCTTTCTGCCTCGGGCGCCATAGACCTCCATTATTTGAATGTCAGCAGACAGCAAGAAGCCTCCCAGATCTCCAGATGCATTTCAGATATCAAAAAAGTACTCCAGAGTGTTGTTCAGCATGGGGGTGAGTAGAAAATGAAGGCCAATCATGTTTTGGGTGTACTATTCCTATTAAGTCTACATACTCCAGATATCCCCTAATTCCCAATTATTTGACAATAATTTAATCACCAATCAACCTCATTATTTACTTGAGCTTTTTTGTTTTTTAACAATAATTGGTTAAAAGTATCAATGTAATTTGAAAGGTGTGACATTACAAGTACGCTCATATGATGTCAAAAACCAAGACAAAGGGATGCCGCAGCAAAGGAATGAGATTCATATTTCAATAATAGCATAAATAAATGTATTTACCCCCTACTTCTTCTAATGTTTCCTTTTAAATGCACTCTGTTATTCAGTATTACCCTTCTGATAATGCAGCTGTAATGACAGCAAATTAAATTAAACTTTACATTTTAAAATAAACATGATGAGAAAATAAGTCTTTAAAAAATATGCCAGGTATTTACACCCCCCTTATACTTCAAAATAACTTGAAGTATAAGTTGTAAAAACATAAGCGCTGCACTCTACCCTATTCCCGACTGAAACAGGAATGTTTTATTGTTGAACATTACTCTTAGCAAAGATCTGATTTGTAGCAGAAGTAAATCCAAAGAATTCAGACCTTGAAAAGTTCCTTTCAAGTCACAGTAAATTTCAGCATTAAATGTTAAAGCGTAATATGTCCTTCAGACTTCAATACCAAGCAGGGACAAAAAAAAAAAAAAAACTTTCTACAATCAAACCTCACCCACTTTTAACCACATGAAAGGAAAACAAATCACTGATGTTCAGCATTCAAGTGTCTTATTTTCCCATAAGATTAAACACAATTAGAAAAGAGAACTTGTATAAGACCTGGTTGGTGAAAATCTATTCTCAAGTTCAGTTTTGAGAATACAAAGTCCTAACAAGACGAGAAAAGATGCAACTGTCTGCAAAAATAATGATAAACAGAAAGTGTTAAATTATTGTGACGTCTTCAGAAGGGGAAAGTGGCATGATGTCAATTTCAATCAGCTTTTCACAGAGACTGGAATGTTTCCGTGTGTTCTTAAAAAAAGTGAAGATAACAGAGTGTTTCAAACATGACTGTTTTGCATGTTCTTCTAACAGCACGGTGTTGCTTTCATCTATCAAGAGCCCCTTCAACATACAGTAATCTGTCTCTGTGTTCAATGATGTAAGGATGGACCACATGGACAAACTAGGTTACAGATAAAGATAGTAGGTCAAAATAGATTTTATCTAGCTTATTAATCTCTAGTCTTACAATGTTATTTACCTGATAGTTTATACTGGGGATGACACTGCCATCTTTTAGCCATGTGATGGTTGGTGCAGGGTTTCCATTAGCAGCACAATCGAGAGACAGGAGACTTCCCACCAAGGCCTGGACAACAGGGGGTGGAGCTTTAGTGAAGCTGGGTGGGGCTGTAAAAAAAAAACAAAAAAAAAACATGTCAAATGTTAACTTTTTTTCCCATGATATTATGAGATTAGCGAGCAGATCAAAATAGTAGCATAATCACTGGCAGGGGAATTGCATAAGAGTGATTATCTCCTCATCATTGCAGGAGAAGATCATACCTGCAGGGTATGGAACAACGGTTATTGGGTGCAATATATCAGGCAGAATAGGTCATCAGCATAGGTCTTGGAATACATGGGTCATCTGCAATGCGGCCTTTTACAGTTTTACTTGTGCAATATTATTTTTCTACACACTTTAGCACTCCGTATTTGATTTTATTGAAGACCAGGTATTAACAGTGTGACAGCACTCCAGACATAAATGCAAGCATCATTTCCTTGCCTATGAAAAAGTAGTTGTTTTTTCTTGCATAGGAAATTCAAAGATCTTTGAGTTATGCTTTAAAGAAACCCTCTGCCAAACTCTCAACACTGTTTTGTTTGGAGGGGCACAGGCATTATTATTAAGGAAAAGAGCAAAAAAGCAGGTGAAGATCATACCTGCAGGGTATGTCACAGAGGGCCTGGAGTACAAAGTCAGAATTTATTATCGTTTCCATCTCTAACCCGACTCTCACACAGACTGGCTCGCAGAGACCGCCTCGCTTCACTTTGATCTGGGGCTCGTTGATAATTTCTTCTGTTCGCTTGTGTGCAAAAAGATAGCGAAAGGTTTTCCAAAATACAGAAACTTCAAAGCACGCACACACATAAGAAAAGATAATGATCCATATTTCATACCCAGATTTAATATTTAAACCCGTCAACAGGCATAACTCTGCAGTTGCCCATTATTTTATCTGAGTTTAACTCTGACTGTAAAGCCAGAGATTTTTAAATGTATCCATATCACCTGATGTTTATAGCAATTTAACACACTTTCAATTTCTTTAGTTTGAAAAGTTTGAAAAGCTGTCTTTTTTAAGTTGTTTATACAATCTGTCAAAATATAATGCTTTTGAAAGCAAAATGAATACAAGATAAGGGGCAATGTCATGGAAGATTCACATTTTAAAAGCAGAAACCTAAAGAGGCTATGAAACATTTTGGAGTTTCTTAAGTTTAAATAAATAAAATTTGGACTTTGATGTATTTATATAAAAAAAAAAGAAAATGTGAAATTGGATCAAAGCAATGTACTTCTGAAGAGGAGCAGGGAAGCCCCCCATCATACGGAGAACAATCGCAGTTGATATCTTCATCTGGAACGTTTTCCCTTAAATCATTACCAGTCATTAGAAAGCCCTACATTTAGGTGGACTTTAGATGTAAGTAGCTGATTGGGGCTGAGTAATCCTGCAGAATGAAAGACAAGTTTCTGTTTTTGTTTTAATCAGGATAAATTTATATTTAATTTGTTTTCATGCCACAGCAGTGCCCTGTGATCAGCGCCGTAAGGGTAAACACTGGATTTTTTAACTGAATACAACAAGATGGTAGAAATATGATGCAAGTTTGAACCAGGGAACAAGACAAAGCTAGTATGATAAATTAAAACATATTTTTGATCTTGTACTCAAAAGTGAAAAAAATATGAACTGCAATAAAACATCACGTTGCCTATTTAGACATATATGTATGCAATATGATTGCAGTGTATTTTCTACTTTTTTATTCCTCCTGCAACACCAGACTCTTTGCCGAAGGAATTTTTCATCACTGTTGCTATCATTTGTTAATAATGCAATTTATAAATATTCTCAACCAAAATATTCTTTTAAATAGCATTTAAGCCTCTACAAAGAAGGGTAGCTTTAAAGTAGCTTTAAAGTTACCAACATTCATACAGAACAGTGTGTCATTTTCCTGTCTTAACATGGCAGGATAATGAGAACTAACTATGCTATTGATAGCTGATTGTTTAATTGTTTGATGGTTTACAGTGTTTGAAAAGTATGTAGAGATATTAATCAAATTTCAAGTAAAATGAAAATTACAAGCATAGATAGTAATCAGAAAACATTCAATCCAATCAAGATATAACACTGAGAACCAGCTTGGCCTCCAAGTTGTTGTTTGTCAGTTAGAACTTCAAACGTGTTATTAAACATAAAAAGGCATCAAATTTAGCATTAATTTTTTAGTCTGGCTTTGCTCCATGAAATGTGTCAGAAGTAAGTAATTTCTCATAATTTCTTTCTTTCACATTGACATGAAGAGAAAAGGCAGCAATCTGGGTGGAATTTTCTTCATTAATTTGATTCCAAGACGTCTCAGGCTTGTATGTTGTGTTGATTTTGAGTTGGAATATTTCTGAAAATTGTTGTTCTCATCTTGCCAATTATAAAGTTGCAATATAGAAAAATCTGGGGCTGATTTATAATCCTATGGAGGGTGACAAGGCTTCTTTTCTCTCATTAACTTTAGAGGCTGCAGTGGCTCACCCATTCTGTTGTAAATATATTGGAATGATTAACAGAACTGCTTTTATAGGGTCCAACAGTTCTTGTTAAAACTCATTAAATATCAGTGTTGTTATAATATAAGAAACAAATCAAAGTGTTCCTTCCAAGATTTGACTTCTATGCCATTTAAAAAAAAAAATTCTGATCCTTTAAAATATCTAAAAAAAGAAAAAATCATATATATGCATGCGGCAAATAAGAGGTGACTTAAGTGCATTTTCTTGAATTGAGGAGGTAAGTGTGACACTTTGCCAATGGAACAAGACAATTTACATTTAAAATAAGAAAAAAACAATTGTTTTATCTTATTTCAAGCGTATATTATCTAATTATCTTATTTTAGGAGTAAAAATACTAATTCCATTGGCAGATCATCTTATTTACCTGCTCAAATTAAGGGTAAATACACTTAACTTAAGACATTTTTTTACTTATTTCTAGATGTTTTTTGCAGTGTATATATTTTTTTTTTGTTTAAATAAAACTTTGAAATAATTTACAATTATGAATGTAACCTTAAATATTGATTATTAAAATATCACTAGGTGTATTATTCAATAAAATATTTATTTTTTAAAAGTAGTGTTGCGCCGATGCCATTTTTTCACCCCGATACCAATACCTGGCTGTGCAGTATTGGATGTAAAATAAAATAATGGAATCCAGTAGAGCTTTATATTGCCTACTTGGAATGGCTGACAGTAGTTGAATAAACTTTTGGCTCTCAAAATGGTATCGGTGCCCTATTTGTTGGTACTCGCCAATACCACCATTTTAGTGCTGGATCAGGACCCCGACCCGATACTGGTATTGGTATCGGTGCAACACTATCTAAAAGGGTCCCATTCTCTTGTCTATTTTTGTTACATCTGATAGATGTAGAAACATTCAAGTATTTTTGCAGTCAACAATACTCCAACTTCTACAGGAAGAGTGAGATGTATAGAGAAAAACAAAAGTATTGTTTTGAATACACATCCCTGTGGTGCTCCTGTACTGATGACCACCTGCTTCAATCTCCCTTAGATTGAACAGGTATTACTTCATTTTTAGCTTATGACTATTGAGTGGGTAGATTATTTAGCTGTTAATGTTAAATTTGTTTGTTTTCTTTGCTTTATAATAAATATAATTATAGATCTTTAAGAGCACTGATCCAAAGACATATCTTACCTGTCACAGAAAGCAGGGTCCAGTTACTGCTCTGCACTTCCTCTGCAGGTTTGTCAAGCACAAGTATTCGACAGTCGTACAGGCCCTGGTCATCCAGCTGCAGGCGCTCCAGCCTCAGGTTGGTGGTTCTCCCCAGAGATACTCGCCCTGCAGAAACAGGGGAGAATGGAACAAACATGCCATAAACCAACTATTTGATGCAGACTTCAGGTCAGAGGTGTTTGAAACTTTTCCGTCTGTGACACTTCATTTGTGGAGAAAACAAAAGAAAGGTCTTGCAGTGTTACCTGAAAACTGAATGAACAAACAGACCCACAATAAACGTTACACACAAGTGCACACAAACTTAGAAATCAGATCTCTCGGTTGCCAGGTGATGGCTCCCTCGAGCCAGAGCCGCTTGTAACATCAGCCCTTTATCTTTCCAAGGCTGCAGACTAACTGTCCATGTAGATTTCACACCTTAACAGACAGACCCAACAAAAAAAAGAAATTCAAAGAAAACAGTGTTAAAGAGCATGAAAACCTCTGTGCACCCTCACACAAATAAAATAAAATATGAACGCTTCAAACAGACTGCAGTATGATTCTGTACCACAGGGAAGCTACTGTTGTGATGGTAATTATTAACAGATGCACTGGACTGGAGTGAGCCTGGCAGCGAGGGACTGACAGTGAAAAAGATTCAGGAAGTTAGACCCAGGTATGCTTCCAGAGATAACACACCCTGTTTATTTTTCCTAACCACCAACAGGGACTAGAACCAGAGGGGAGGAAAACAGGAATGGAGCGAAAGTGGAGCAAACCACACATCAGCATACACTCAGGGGATTAGCTTGTTTCAAAATCCTGCCCTTTGACCCCCTTTCGTTTTTTTTTTCCTCTTTATCTCCACTATCACTCTTTGTGTGATATGGGTTTGTACAGCACTGTTAGGAAAGGCTTTCCTTAGGTGGAAATGCAGGCTGCACATTACTGAATTTCATCAGGGAAAATGGACAGGAGAGATGGGGAGAAAAGAGGAAGGGCATGACCTCATAGTACTGCTTCTGAGATCTTAAGAAAAGAAATCATGATTGCAAACAATCTGAGTGATGTGAGATGGAAACCAGTTAAGGGGTGCACAGAAAAAAAAACATCATCACTTTATTGATGAAAAATGTAGAACTATTAGACAGTAACATGGTTTTCAAGTTTCTTGGGAATATGAAGTTGACTTGCTGATGTAATTAAATGTTTTCATTAATTATAATAGCTTTCAGAGGTTCCTGCATTTGTTTCCAAAATTAAGGACAATTCAATTGAAAAAAATAAAAGAAATCTGTCAGAAGAAGTCATTTAAAAAGTGAGATAACCTGACTGCATAATTGTGAGCTTACATCAACCAATAATTTCTTTCAACGTTTTGACACAGTGTGAGCATTCAGGCTGTCTTTTGTAGGTGTCTAAATGCATCCCCCATCCTGAGTTGAAATCATCGGCACTATTTTAAGCAAATCTTTTCCCAATCTATCCGATTTTTTCTGTTTGCAATGTTCTTCCCCACAGATTTTCGATCAGATTTTAGCTCTGCAATGGGTTGTGCCTTTTCAAAACTTTAAAAGTTGTTGCTAAACGTTTTTCATCAATACAATTGATCATTCAAACATAATACATCCATAGAATATCTAGAGTTGTGCAGATTACAAGTATTTATTTTACTGAAAAATAAATGGCATATAAATATCTTTTATACATTGTGACGGGTCAAAAATACAGTATAAACATCTACTTCTGCTTATGATGCCAATGTTGACATGAACAGATTTTGCACCAATAGGAATGGTGGGTTGAAGTCCTGTGAGATGCAGCTCAGCTTCTTCCAAAAAAAAAAGGCAATAATGAGGTGAAATGACTGTGAAGATTGATCAACCTTTAGGTGTTGGTGCCAATTTAGGGAAGCAAAGAGGCTCATAAGCCACGCAGAGGCCCTTTCATTATGGACAGGTCGGCTAAATTGCAGAGCTGGCAACTGGCTGGCAAACAGAATGAGAGGATGCGAGTCTACCTAAAGGAATTTAACTTGTAACTGTCACCTTTTTTTTTCTGTTATGTCATTATTTTTGAAATTTTGCCAGGACCACGTAACCAGGGATAGAGTCAGGGTCAACAGCAAACCAATGGTTGGACAGTTTTTTTTAAAGTCGTAAGGAAACGGCTGTTCCAGCCATTGCATTTCCGAATTCTCCTCAGTGGTGCAAGACTTTTTTTCACTATATAAGTGAATAAAGTGAATGTGATTGGTCGATTATCAAGGGGGCGGAATTGTTGTGGCGCAAGGTTTGCAAGCAAGTTTGGTTGAGGCCGGTTTGTCGAAAGCATCTTGCTAACCAATTAGCAACTTAGTGCTAGTAGGTTCCCAATGGGAAATTTCATTGGGACCAAGTAGCACTTAGCAACGACACAGTTAAGGAACGCTATGGACAGTGGAAACATGCAAGAGGAGGAGAGTTTTGTGTCGGAGGTCGGGGATGAGTTTCCTCCGTCATATTATTTTTTTTAAAGGACCAAAGTGGGTGGATGAAGATGTTGTGGAAGAGGACGCCAGGGCGGCAGAAGCTTGGTTTGGTGTAGAAGGCTTCCAGCCGTACATGTTTGAGCCCTTGCCTCGCAACGCTGCCAGTTCTGTTAGCTCTACGCCTGCTGAAGACACAGACGTCCATCCCCGTGAACACTGGGACAGAACTCAATGCTAAAGTAAATTATTCTTATTTCTTATTTCAACCGTTGCGTATATTAGCTGCCACATATCAATCAAGATGCTATGACCGAAATTTGAATGACAGATGATCATTGATATATGATTGGTCAAATTTAGGTGTACAGCTTTAGTCTACCTGTGTAACTGTATCATGCTGGGGCATTGCCAAGAAATGTAAATATGTATAATTACTGCCCCAATAATTCCATATAAGGCCACGACTTTAAGAGTAGTGGAAATTTGTTTGGAAATCGAGGTTCTGCTGACTGAGAGCTGAAAGCAGAATTAAAGGAATTATAAAAGCCAGGAAGAGGGGAATAAATCATAAGAGCTGTAAATGACGTGTCACATATTGTATTCTCAAATAAGTCCAAATATAAATTAATGAATCCAAAAATAGTCAAAATAATGTCCACCAAAAGCAAGACATTAAATGAAAGCTACTGGTGCTTCAAGAGGTGCAACATATGATGTAAATGTTTAATATGAGTTCAACATTGACCAACACAACAACATTCCCTTTGGCAGAGGGGCGGCCTAGTGGTTAGGGCATAGAGCTTGGAATCCTCAGGTTCTGAGTTAGAGCCCCATTCCCAAAGACTGCCACTCTAGGTCCCTGAGCAAAACACCCTAACCCTACACTGCTCCCCAGCCGCTGAACAATGGCAGCCCACTGCTCCCCAAGGGGATGGGTTAAATGCTGAGAGTTAATTTCATTGCTCTGTACTTGTGACAGTGTAATGACTATAACAGCTGTAGAAAAAAGAAAAAAAAGAATTCTGCAAAATCTTATTTTAATATATACTCTACATCTTCAGACCACATCTGTCATCCCTTCATTGCACTCTCCATATCTCTCAAAGTATAAATGTAAAAGAAATTAAGGGCTAAATCTCTAATTTAATGAATTCCGACAGTCCCAAACCCAGACATTTTTACATTTACCATAATAACAAAGCCAAGGCGGAGCCAAGAAGTGGACTGAATGCATGTCCTTCCGTTAGAAGAATTTCAAGCAGCAACATGTTGCTGGAACTTCCTGCTGAACTTTCCTTTTCTGTTCCACATACTATTTCAATTATTGTTTAATCTCACATAAAGCTCACAGAGTGTTCTTTCTTAATTAAATTAAACCAGTGTCTCCTGGATACCAACATACCAGCTCCAGGTATGTGAATGAAAATGTAATTCATAATTTATAATGTTATTTATTGCAGAGTTGCATAATAAATAATTATATAGCCTAATGGACAATTGCTTCTAAGGTAACAACAAATGTTTAAGAATTAATTTGTTAGTATGAACGATTCTTTCATGAGACCAAATAAGGGGAAATGTAGGCTTACAGTAGATTTATCCGAATCTTTGTTTTACTTTCTGTTGACACAGTGCAAGAATGAAACAAAATGAACAAGGATCTTCAAGAAGCAATTGCTTCTGCCTGTTAACCCACAACGGATATTAATACCATCTTCAAACTATCTTATCTATAACATATTGAAGTGATAAAAAAAGAATATCGCCTTTATTGTCAGGTCATGAAATACACAGGGAAAAGAAAAATATTTCCATTGTCTAAAGAATACGAGACCTACTGTTAGTTCAAATGTTATTTATTTTTGAAACATTAAAACTGTTTCACTCCCAGATCTTTAAACACAAAACTATCAAGAACATAGTATTCATTAATTAAAGACATACATCAAAGTCAAAATAAATCAGAGCATGCAGGTCTCTACCACTCGCACAGAGAGTGGAAACAAACAGAGGAGGGAACTGGGCGAGACACACGATTTATGGAAGGGACCAAAAAAAAAAAAAAGGCATACACAGGAGAAGTTCTGTAGTGAGGTACTTAAATCACTCTGTGTGATTATAATTAGTATTTGTTTAACATAAGAAAGAAATTAAATTTTTTTCCTAGTTCCTTGTTACACACAGGAAGCAATACTAGCTGAACTTGAGCTGTCAAATGGTAAATCACAAATGTAGTCAAATAAGATGGCTTTGTTTTGCATTATAGATGTAAATAAAACAACAACATTTCCATTTTCATCTCTGACAGAACTACCACTTCACTGTGAAAATCTCACTGATTTTATCCCCTATAATATCACTGAAATGAAAGTGGCCAGTAAAAAATATTGTTCCTCAGTTTAACATGGAGGGAATGCTTAGATCATGATGTAGGAGGGCTTCTTTTCAGCAGTTGGGTTCAACTAAGGTCAACAATCTTGTGTCTTTCTGGTTTTCTTTTGAGGCTTTATTTGTATATAATCGGATCCACTTTTGAAATTAAATTAAATAAACAAAAAAATCTCTTTAGTAAAGTATTTTAGCTTATAAAAAAAGTAGACCAAGCTCAATTCTTCAATGCAAGGTACACTGAGGCTATAAAACGTCCGTT